AGTGGCTTGTTTTAAGACACAAGTGCACTCAGGTGTGCAGAGGAAGCTTGCTGAGGGCTCCTGCCCCTCTTCAAACTGCAGCCAAACAGGGACAACCGGAACAGACTGCACAACTTGAATCCATTGAATCCTCAACAGCCCTTTGCACATGCTCACGTGGGCAGAGGCAGCAAGAGGGGCAGCCCTCCAGACCAGCCTTGTGGGCTGAAAAATCATCATCACGGTCTCCATACCTAACATGCTCCGACCATTCCAGGCAAAAGCCTGGCACCGAGTCCCTGGCCCAGTCCGCAGAACAGGAATTCCTCTTTGCAAGGAGTTGGGCAAGTTCAGGGGCAGCTGAGGAACCCCTACCAGCCCTGCTAGCTTTCCCCTTGGTGCTGAGAGGTGCTGAGTGGGTCTCCTGCTCCTTGCTGGCCTCCCGTGGTGTGTCTGGGTGAGGAACAGGCATTGCCTCCCTGTGACTTCTGCATCCGTGCAAATGCAGCCAGCACTACAAAAATCTAGGTTAACCATCCTGACCCCGTGGAGGCATCTGCTGCTTTTCAGACAGAGATCAGAAAGGTCAGCTGCATTATTGAGAGGGAAAGCATGGTAGGTAGCACAGCCCCGTGTAATCCCTTCCCTTTAATGCTGTTGTGTAATACTGTCAGTATTCATTCACTGGTGCACTGGGGCCTGCCTGGAGTAAACAGCTAAGGGAATTTAGAGCCATAAACCACCTTCATTCATCAGCATTGCTTATCTCCTGGCCACAGATTGAACCCTGCAGTGTAGCTCTCTCCAGATGTCATCTGCTGTTACTTCACTTGGCTGTTTGCAAATCTCTTTCTGCAACAGACTGACCCAGCTAAGAGGAAATCTAAGCATCTGGGGTGAACCCCACCATCCTCCCAGCACGTGAGCAAACAGCACATCAGTCTGGCACACTCAGTCCTCAGCTGGCAGTTCTTCAGAGGAGCCCCCTGCATCCTGAGCTTCCCTTTGCTTGGAGGGAAATGCGTGTGTGATAAAATAACCTCTGTTTAAAAGTCTCAGCTTTGATTCTCTCTTTCTTCCTCTACAGAAATGAGTAGTCCACAGCTTCCTGAAGACAGCTGAGTTGCTTTTCTCTGTGCTTTTTCATCTTCGTTTGCTGTCCTGCTCCACCATCAGCCACTGGATACTTGCAGAAAAGAGTCTTTAAATGTTATTAGGAGGCCTCTCCTCTCTACTGGCTGTCAGAGGTGCAGTTTCTGGTGGCAGAGATCTCTGGGTGGGACGGCAGAAACATGTGCAGCCCAAGTGGGCTGTTGTTCCCTTGCCATCCCCTCACCTGGAGTGACCTGGCTGGGACACATTCTGGCCAGTCACACTGGCTCTGTCCCAGTGCTGCAGCAGCTTCAGCCTTCCCAGGAACACGAGGCAGAGCCCTCAGCATATAAAAAGGAGAGTCCTGGCTGGCTTGGAGGTTTGTCAGCAAAGGCTCTCAATCTTCATAGTCTCTCCCCTGCTCTGCATTCCTCCTTCTAATCATTATTACTTGAATGAGACCATTTTCCTGGAGGCTCTTTTCTGCTGGGAAGGGACCAGCTGCTGTGGAGGGTGATTTGACACAATTTTGAGATTCCTAAACCCTGAGAAACACTAATCAGTTGCTTGGCAGTCTGTTAAATACCTTTTCTTGGTATTAAATCTGTTTCCTCCACCCCAGTGAGGTCAATCTCCACTTTAAATGGAGCAAACAAAATGGGAATGGTGTGACTGTCCGTGGCACTGCCTTTGTGGACCTTCCTGTTGACTCTTTGAAAGGTAAAACTGTGAGGTTTGATCCATTCTTGTCCTTGTAAGGGACACATTCCTTGAGAAGCACCCGGTCTGAAGCTCCCAAATAATGTAGTGTGCCTGGCCCCAGCAGTAGCAGCTCCTTTCCTTGCTACTTGATTACAGAGGCTTTCTTTTCACACTGCTGTATCCAAACACCCTTCTGCCATTGCTGTCTGTGGTCACTTCAGGTTACACACGATCCGTTTACTTGCACTCACTTTCCTTTCTGTAGTTACCACCCTCTTGGAGATCCTTTTGCTCCTTATTTGGACAAATAATAGACTTGGCAGGTTTATGTCAGCCTCTTCCTGTAGACAGTTCCTTGCACAGAATCCCAGTGAAGTCAAAGACAGTGGTAATTGCAACTGTTTTTTAAATGTTAGTGATGCTTCTGGGCTGTGCCAGGCACACTGATGTCAGCAGGGTGATGCTCACGTAGAAATTGCAGCCTAAGAAGAACAAAGCCAGAGGATGTTAACAGTTTTTACTCCTACTCTACCAAGGAAATGGCATTCACACTGAATACCTGGCTTATTACTCCTCCATATTGAGGCAGGCATAAGACTGGTTGGTTGAAGAATTACTCTAACATGTCTTTTATGTAGATTGCTGAAGGTTTCATGTTGTAATCAGTGTAGGTAATTTATATATTTTTACACAAGTATATAGAACTCTCAGGACTAGCTTTGCAGAATGTTTAGTGGCTTTTCAAGGTTTTCCAGTCCCGTGGTTTGACACTAACACCTGCATGTTTTCAGCTTGCTATTGTGGTAATTTTGGGAGCTGTTCTGGAAGAAGCAGATCAAAGCAAACAGCAAATGTAAAGCTCAGTGGCAGGTGCCTCTTTCCTTTTGCTTGGTTTCTGGATACAGACAGGGGCTCTTTTAAGCAGAGGTATCATAACTGTGTTCTTGGAAGAAGATGGTAAGTTGCTGACTTCTCTTGACAGAAGTCCTCCTGGGTAATTCTCCTACCTTTTATCCATGCTTGCTCCTTCTGTGGCCTTGGGTAAGTCACATTTTCTGTGGCTAGGCCCTCAGCTGGTGCAGGAAGGCAAAAGCTTACAAGAGCCAGTGCTATGCCAAGTTACCACAGCAGGGGACCAGGCCCTCACCCCATTTCTAAAATAGGGTTATTAGCACTTATCTACCTCACAAGGATGCTGTGAGGATTAATACTCATACAGCACTTCGAAGATGTAAAGTGCTATGTAAGTCCCAAGTATTATCCAACTTTGGTGTTAAAAATGCTTTTAGGGATCAGTAGGACTTGTCTTAAAGCATGGAATGTGTGACTGCCTTTTCAATTTGCATCAGATGCAAATGCAAAATATTTATTCATACTGGTTAACAGGATGGGCTCAGCTGCACTTGAACACTGAAGAAGGTTTAGCTTAAAAATCTGAACTCTAATTTCAGTTTTGAAAATGCTTTTTAGTTCTTCTAAAAGCCTCAACCAAATGTTTAGATGCGAACCTTGTATCCAAATCCCAGAGTCTGGTCTTATCCCTGACTGTTAACTAGAATAAATCTAATCCAGCCAAAACACAGTGCACTCACAGTCTGCTATGACTGTTGAGAAGACTAGAACAGAAAACGAAGTCATTCTGCTCAACCTTCATTCTGCAGGTCAGCTAGGTTTCATGAGACAAACTGCAAAGGGATGTTTCATTTCTATGATTGTATGTTTTACTGGCTTTAAAATCATCAGAGAGGGAAGGCCTTGATGGAATCAATAAGGTCAGCACATCCTTCTTGAATTACTTTCTTTTCACCTGAATCAAAGAAATAGCAAGTTCTGTAGCAAAGCAGGTGATTGTACCACTAGTCCTACGGCCTGGAAAAAAAAATGGATCTAGAAATATGGCTCTGAACCATCACCATGTTCTGAGCTAGGATAAAAAATGCCACTGTTCACTGATTTCAAATCTGGACCACAGCTAGAAACTACTTAGTTCTAGTAGCACTAACTGCTGTATAAACACAAATGAAGGCCAGGAATTAGACATCAAGGAACATGAGCTGTGTACATGTGAAATGGACCATAATTTTGAAGCAGCTGCAGTTAAATCTTATCTTAATATGAACTCAGAAGCAAACACAATGCAAATTTTTATGGTTTCTTTAAAATATATGGTGGGTTTTAGTTTTCTTAGTTTGGAGAAAATTTTCTTAATGTTATTTTATTTTTGCTGTTATTGTAAAGAATAAAAATATACAATTCTAGGTAGACTACAAATGAAAAAAAAGGTGGCCAGTTGGCAGGAATGCCAAAACTTCTGTGGTTTGTGTTGTTTCTGTGGTGACACTATGCTGCTGTAGGATGAGCTACTGGAATTGTGTGATGGCTCAACAGTGAGGCTGAAGCACAGGGCCAGATGGGTGCAGGGGCTGAGCCACCAAGACACTTCAGCAGGACTGGGCCAATTTGGGTTGGTCAAAATGCAGAGCATCAGGAAATAAAAGACGATATTTCCTGACAGAAGGAAAACAAGAAACCAAAACCAGCCTGTTGGGCGACGGTTCTGATCCACTACAAACATACTTATCTAGACCTTGCTGGTGCAGGCTCCTGCTGGACCAGGCCTTGCTCCTAATTCACCTGGGGAGGCTTGCTCCATGTGTATGGTGCTGGCATGGTCAGGCCAGCAGAACCTGCCCCTTTGTTAAATAAAACTCAAAAACTAGAAAACAACAACAAAACCAGTAACAAGAATAAAAAAAGAAACCCACAAAAAACAAGGCAGGAAAAGGCAAACGCCATTGGGTAAGTGTCAGTTCTGCCTGGCTGAGAATGCAGAGTGGCTGGTCTGTCCTGAACACTAATCTCCAAGTCTTGGACCCATTCAAGCCTCTTGCTCAAGCCCCTCTCCCACGTGCTCCAGGCAGAGTGCACTGAAAGATGTGACTGAAGCAGCTGCTCTCCTCTGGGGAGTCCAGCATTGGCCATGTATAAAAGTCTTTAGTACTTAATTTCTTTACTGTGATTGTAAAGGTCACCACCTACAGTACAGCCACTTGATCTGGGATCTTTTCTTAACACATTTTTATGCAAATTTTACTGTTTTAATTCTTCATTTGGAATGTATTTTTTTCTCATTTCTTCTGTGTGTAACAGCAATTAAAATTATTAATTTACTGGGTATTTTTACTGTGCAGATACAATGTCTCCTTGCTCATTTTCTGTTCCTGTAACTGTTTCAGCACAGAGTATGAGGCCAAAAGAACCTCTGTGGTGGGCAGTTTTCTGCCACTGTTATGCCCATCAGCATGTGTTATGCTGGATCCACTCAGCATCCCACTGGAACCCTGTCACAGTCAGCTGCAGTATTCCTGTCTGGGGAACCCTGAAACACAGCCACACGCACCCCACGGAGCACATCCAACACAAACCAACCAGGCACCACCTTGACGATGGCATCTGGCTCGTGTTACACCACGTCCTGGGTGCCCTGGGATGCAAAGCCCTGAAGCAATCCTGCCCCTTGCTGCTCCAGCCAGTCCCACACACAATGGCCATTTGTCCACAATTCCAGGGAGAAAGCATCCTGCTGCACAGGATTGCTCTGGGAAGGCTCTTTTCTGCCAAGAAGTCTCAGACAAATGGCCAAATCTCTCTCCCTGCCCCGCCCCAGAAAAATTTCCGGGAGAAGAAAAGTAGGGTAGTCTGCACATTTTATTCTGGTTGGGGATCTGCTGCCAGATTCTTCAGCTGTTTGATGCAGTGGCACAGATATTTTGTATCATTAATCCTGAACCAGGCCATCTGTCACCAGTAGAACAGGTTTCAAGGATTTATAGCACAGAAACACACTGTGTGTAACTGCTCCCTCTAAGTTAAATGGATCTGCTTCCAGGCTTAATGGAGACTCCTTAATACTCCCCTTCTGAAGTGAAGTGATTCCTGATGTGAGAATTAATCATTACCAGGCAGAAATACTACCAAATTATTTTCAAAGCAGCCTAAAGGTGTCAACAGTAGGCAAAAGTGGGTGAGTCTTTCCTCTTTCTTTAATTTGATCTTTTACAATCCCTTTCAAGAACTTAGAGGCCTGCTGGGAGGAGCATCCTGTTTCCTCATACCTCCTTCCTAGCTCCAGATGGAACAAAAGTGACAAAATACTCTCAGACCGACTGTATGTCTGTGGCTGGCCGCTGCTATGCTTTTACTCCACAATTGGCTTCTGAAAGATTTCAGTCTAAATTAAATGGACCACCCCAATGTATATATATATATTTGTATTAATCTACCTGTCAGTCTGCTAATTGTTCAGTGGTTCAGATAGTCTAGTCTTGGCCACTGGCAGTGAAGTTCCTGGACCTTCTGTGGCCAGCGCTTTCACAAAGTGACTCCTTCATTTGCAAAGCTGTGTCTACTTTCTTGGTATTGCAAGGACTCTAATCTTTGTTTATATACAATCTGACATAAGGAAGCCTAAAAAGGTCCTGCTGGGCTATCTGGGGACATGAAAACAGAAGCCAAGCCTCCTCTTGAACTCAGAAGCAGGATTCTCACTGACCAGGGTGGAAGCAAACATATTGGCTCCTTTTATTACCATTAAGATACGTTAGCAGATGGGGTTAGAAATATCACACTTAACATGTACCCTAATGCTGTCTAAAACCATTTAGAGGAAAGGAAGATAGAAACATGGGAAGTGTCCCTGCTGAGCAGAAACCCCACTCCACCACCTGGTTTAACTGACCATTACAGAAGCCAAGGGCAGCTGTGTTTTGAGCCACATGATGACAAACTACGCAGCCACAGCAATGCTGTTCTGCATGCTGGACTAGGCACAGCTAGTTCCACTAATTACCTCTTGTGTTTTGACTTCTCCAAACTTCCTGTCACTGTGTCCATCTTTTTCTTAAGGAAAAGAAAATGAGTGCCATAATTAGTGCAATCAACCCTATGTTTTGAGAACAAGTTTCAAAAAGTTATGGATTAAAAGCTTTACACAAATTTTAAACCTAATAAAGCTCTGTAAGGCTTTCCACTGTATAAAAGAAAAAGTTGTCTGGTCACAGTTTTCATAGGAAGTGATAGTTCAAATTTAGGGAGTTCTCATTTTCACTCCCATTTCCCCTTGTTCAGTTCAGCACTATTACGAATAACTTGCTTTGGGTCTAACAGGCTTTGTGTTCTCTGCAACCTTCCACCTCCAAGCCTCAGGAAACTTATATTAACCCCTTCTGAACTACAACAGCAGCAAAGCTGCTGCTGTGTTTCATAGAAGTGGTGCAATGCCCTATTTGGTTTTGCAAATATTAAAAAAGGGGCTAAAACTGAAGAACATGGCTAAGCAGAAGAATGCCAGTGTCCTTCCTTGAAGGAGAGAAACAGAAGAATACACGTGTATTGGGTTTGCATGGCAAGCTTTTGGTCCTGTGGGGGCTGCAGGGGTGGCTTCTGTGAGAAGGTGCAAGAAGCTTCCCCTGTGCCCAGCAGAGCCAACGGGCCCAAGATGGACTCGCTGCTGGCCAAGGCTGAGCCCAACAGCGATGGTGGCAGTGCCTCTGTGTCAACAGACTTATGAAAGGGGAAAAGAAACCATGCAACAGCAACTGCAGCTGAAGAGAGATGTGAGAACGCATCAGAGCAGAGGAAGGAGGCACAAGGATGACTTCTGATGAACTGACCACAGCCCGCATTCCCTGTCCACCTGAGCCACTGGGAGAAGGAGGTAAAGAATTCTGGAGTAAAGTTAAACCCAGGAAGAAGGGAAGGGTGGGGGTAAGGTATTTTAAGGTTTACTTTTTATGTCTCATTAACCTACTCAGATTTGATTATAAATTAAATAAATTAAATTTCCCCAAGTTGGGTGTGTTTTGCCTATGACAGTAATTAGTGAATGATCTCCCTGTCCCTATCTCGCCCCATTAGCCTTTTGTTAAATTTTCTCTTTCCTGTCTGGCTGTGGAGGGTAGTGATAGAGCGGCTTTGGTGTGCATTTGGTGTCCAGCCAGAGTCAACCCACCACAACAGAACAAGAGGAATTCAGACAGAAGTTAAACCTCCATGGAATCAGCATAGAAACCAGCAACTCCTACAGAGCTATTCAAATCAGCAGATTTGCTCAGCCCTTAGATCCCTCCTTACTCCATTCCCTTAGGATAGCCTGTCATCAGGTAAAGACCACTGAAAGAATCCCTAAAGAAATTTCAAGTCCTGCTCTGAAGGGGCTTCTGGCATAATGAAGAGGGCTTGCTTTTTACGTGAGGCATGATGCCCTCCAGCCTACAGTGTCTGATTCCAGGCAGTAACTACCTCTCTAAGCAGTAACTACCTCTCTAAGCAGTAACTACCACTCTTCCAGAACTAAAATTCATCAAGTATATAGTTCCTGAGAGCTACAAATAAACCTGCAGTTAAGCTCAATTTGATGTAAATGCCTTATCTGCTAAAGTCAGTTTTACAATCTCTTATTCTGACTCCTGCTTTCCCACCTCTCTCAGCTGCAAACAGATGCCAGGAGAGAAACCCTCCCCAGAGACCGCCCAGGTCAAGGTAAAGAGGAGCCCTTGGAGCCCTTAGACACAGGCTCCCATTACGGTATCTCAGTACAAATCAGCACCTCACCCATAGAGTGCTTTTGCAAGCCTGGTTCCTCAGCCAGCTCTGCTGTAAACAGGCTGATCTGAATAATTTTGAAGAGGTGTGTTCCTTTTGTACCAGTCCTCACCTTGACAAGCTCTGTGTGGGAAGGCAGCAGGTACTTGCTACCCAGCAATCAGATCTCAGGGGATAGGGAGCTGCTCTCGTGCCCCCAGGCCTGTCTGCCCTCCCTGAAGAGGGTGAGCAGTGCTGCCAGAGTTCCTTGCCTTAGCCTGGCTGGCAGCCTGAGAAGGCTCCCACTGATTAGAGGAACAAGGAAACTGTGGCTTCAGGGAGGAGCATATCAGGGAGCATGGGAAGTGGGAGACATGGTAACACCAGGAATTCTTAAAAAAAAATGGTTAAGAATTGCTTTCAGTCTTTCGGGTGAGCAGTGTCCGGCTTCAGTGAAGAAGTGTTGCATGTATTCTATGCACAAAGACAGATCAGTTTGCCTGAAAATCAGAGCAGGAAACCCAGTGTATGCATCCCTTCCCTCTGCTGACCCCCTGCGAGCTACTTCCACATCAGCAGAGAGAACCTAATCCTGGGTGGGGGGTGTGTGTGTGTGTGTGTGTGTGTGTGTGTGTGTGCTCAGCAGTTGCCAGCAGGCTGTCCAGAAGCAATGATCTCAGGCAAAAATAACTCCAAAAGATCTTTCCAAATATAGTCCCTCATTATTGGTGCTGTATCAGTTTCATTTCAAGCTGTGCCTGGCAGCCTCTCTCTTGTTCCCTTTCAGAAGACACTAACAGGTCTGAGGCACCAGGGCCTTTCTCTAGAAAGGGAGAACAGGGGAAACACACTTCAGCAACGTCAGATAAAAGAATCCTTGCTCTCAAATGTTTAACCTCAAAGGCTCTATAGTTAATCAGCCCTAAGCAGGGTGAGCTTGCCAGGGGCTGATGACACTGACAGGACACAGTTTCTTTCCAGGTACTGCTGCACACGCTGCAAGACCACTCTGCAAGCTCTAAGTTTGGGCATGGTGACACGGGAAGCCATGTGAGGGTCATGGGTTAGTGTTGGTAAAACCTCACCCCACGCACCTGGAAGTGTTCAGGCTCACACAATCAGTTTGAGGCAGCTGGAACCAAGCTCTGTGTTACAACTGGATTTAAGCTTCAATGGGTGGGAGCTTTAACAAAACAGGGAAAGGAGAGGGGGTCTGTTTTTCTTCCGTTTTGTGTCTTGGAAATTTAACTATGTCATACAATGTTGGCAAAATCCTGTCGTTCTACAAAGGAAGAGAACAGATTTACCCAGTGTGGTGTCTGTAGTAGCCATAAAAGAAGCATAAAGCTGTTGTCAGAGTGCATCAGTGGACTGCTTGGAAGTGCTAAGTATGCCACAGGTGCAGGGCAAGCCTGGTTAGGGAGTGAGAAATACCCATATTTACCTTTGAGCCATCTAGGGAATTCATGAGGCCTGCTAGCCAAAATATGCCATTTTAAGAGATGTGATATTGCCTTAAAGCAACTGAAGACAAATTTCAGTGATCTCAGAGGAAGACAAAGTCAGAGAGTGAGGCTGTTTTTTTTGGATACAAAGGCAAGTTCTTACAATGTGACCTTGCAGCTTCAACTCCAGGACATACAGACTGAGCAACCTCATCCCCTGTGGACAAGGATGAGAGCCACACTGGCCCAGAGCCACAGTGCCAGTCCCAATAAGTGCACTTGCCCTCGTAAAATAACAGGGTGTAAACTATACTCAGACACGAAATCTGTGGTTACTCAGCCTGGAGGGAACCAACCCAAATAAATCACAGTGGCTGCAAATCTGACCTACCACAGACGATCAGTTTGCAGCTGCAAGTTGTAGGGATCACAAGTAGACAGATGCTACATGATGAGGTGAACCACAACTTAGGCTTGGATGTGATGCTAATGCTGCCCTTGTAGAGGGCCACTGTTAGGTGGGGGTTGCTGATGAAAACACAGCTCAGGGCGCAGTTGTTGCTATGACTCATGTTGTGGTTCTTCAGTGGGGCAATGAAACAGGAAGCACAGTCCTTCCCAGGATACTCCATCCTGAGGCCAGAACATTGCTGAGGATGGAGTCACTATGGGTTCCTCTGCACTGCACTTCCTGCACACACAAACATGCAAACACCATCAAGACAGAGTCTTCTCCTGGCACAAGCACAAACCTTAAAAACCTTGGGTATGACATTTCATGACAAGGATCTTCTTTCCCATCAAGGAAAACCCAGGGAGGAGAAAGAATGAACAACACACAACATTACTGTTGGCATCTGACCAGCATACCCATCTCAACATGTAAACAAACACAATCTGCAAAGCAAGAAAGGAAGGAATTGGAAATCTCGTTCTCCCATTAATCTGCTATGCAACTGTAAGCAAGCCATTAATTTCTTTGTTTCTTGGTCTGTAACTAAGGTGTCAGATTTTTGCTCCACAGGGATATATCAATGCCTTCTCTCACTAATGCCATTAAATTGTAAAGTGCTTTTTGGATATTTGGCTCCCAAGGCACTTTAGAAATGCATGATTAAATTACACCCAATTATAAACCAAAGCAGGTGATCTTGCAAAGGAAGGGATATTGCTCTGCTGGTGTTGCTCTGAGTCATTAATAGCCTACAGAATGCTCTGGGGAAATCAAGGGGAACTGCCTGTACAATTTAATTTCCAGTGTCCACTGCAAATCTCACATTTTCAGCCTGTATTTAAACACATTTCTTGAAGTCTTTATTACTGCCTTTTGCACTGGCATGGGATCCCATCAGGTAGGTCCCTTGCATTCTAAATGTATCACTGCATGGCAAAATTCTTTTATGAGAGAAAACAGCCCATTTCCTCCTTTTCTTTCAGAGTTTTTCTTCCATCTCATGTTTGTGCAAATAAACTTGCCATTTTTAATGAAGAATAGGAAATTCGTTCACATCTGCTTGTGTCCTGCTGGTCCTGCCTGAGGATAGGCAGGCTGTTATCAACCTAACTTTCCTCCATTCACTGCTCTTCTACACTTGCCTTCATGCACAGCAATTACTGAGGTTATATTAGACTCTGTAAAATCCAGGCCTACAGCACTTCCACACAAGAACACAAATATGGCCACATAACTGGAACTGCTCTTTCTCAGAGGCACACGTAGCCCGAGTGACATACCTATGGTCCAGTGATGCCAATCAGGAAAGGATGACAAATACAAATTCACAATTTGACATCTCATTACTCCTTTTAGTGAACTACTCATCGTGTTATTTTAATGTATTGCCCATTACTCTTAGTGGGATTAGAAGACTTGTAGCAGCACATCAATAGGCTTCTGAAGAAAGATGTGCTTAATTTAGTAATGTATATTAATATATACCTCTTTGATATTACCACATTATTACACTAGGAATAGGCCAAGCAAAAAAATTTGCCTTGGATCTCACCATTTAAAGTCTGCATTCTGCGTTGCCCCAGACTGGGCAGAAGGATGACTTACCATTTTGACTTGAGCTGGGCCATGTTCAGTTTTGTCTGGGAGCAGTGCTGATGAGACATCTCTATTACTGATTAGGCATGAGCAGGGAGCAACAGAACAACAGAGAAAGCATTTACCTGATAGGGTGAGCTCTGAATGTTTAATTTAATGTTCTTTTAGGGACTTCTTACAGTTTCTGGCCCTGAAGGACTGTCACACAGTCTCCTGCATGTAACAGATCTGTTTGCTTTTTATTTAGCAAACAAATCCTAGTCAGACTGGAAATGTGCTATAACACAAATGACTTATAACACCAATCTTCTGTTATGTCAAGACATGATAATATTCCCTCCCTGCACATGGGTGGCCTTGACTGTGCTGAATTTTAATTTAAACAGCATCTGTATGAACTGCTATGTAATGTGCTATATACACATGTAGCAAAAGGACGCCTGGTCCTGAAGTGATTGCCAACAAATGGATGGGATAGGACAGGAGGTATTCTTGTGTCTAATCTCCAGGTGGGCACCTGAGGTGCAGACCAGGTTAGTGATACACCCAAGGCCACACAGGGAGTCTTGTGTACAAGAGCACCCATGTTCCTCCAGTGCTGTCATGAATGTTTATGCTTACCTCTGTCTGTGGAGATGTACTATTGCTCCTGTGAATCCAGAGGGAAAATATCCCTGCTGCAAAATCTGCAGACAGTGACTCAAAAGAAGTATTTTGTCCCTGGGAGCAGGCTTGTGACACACTTACTGCTGTAGACCTTCTCTGTGTCTGTGAACCACGTGGCATTACTGACATCACACTGCAGGACACCGTAAGTCTGCTAATTGTCTTCTACATCTGAGCTGCGATTTACGGTCATGGTGTTTGGGACTTCTTCAACCAGCTGCAGATTAGTGGGTAGTCAGGTGAAAGCTATGAATTAATGACCCCTTTCAAGTATTAGTTTATTCTGTTTGGCACCCTCCTTTTGTCCTTTTCTGAGGCAAAAAAATTTTCACTTTAGCCTCTCCCTTCCAAAGTCCCTGTGTGTCTAGGAAAGTACTTCTACCCTGAGCAACCTGAGGACTAATTTGCCCTGTGCATGTAGTTACCTTCTGATGAAGAAATAAGGCTGTTAGTTTTACAAAGCACTCTGAAGAGATGACAAGTACAAAATACACTGAGAAGGTCTCTAAACCCCAACAGTCTCTCTAAGTAGCCAAGCCAGCCTGCCTCCACTTGGCTGGCACAGACCCACTTTCAATGCAAATGATGTCACCAGGCTGCTGAGGGGACAGACACTGTTGTGTTAGTGCTGTTATGGGAATCTGCCTGTTCAAATAATGGCATGAAAAACAAGGTAGCATTTGGGGATATCTGTAAGCAGTAACTGCTTCCCTCTTTCCCTCCACTTTGGACAGAGTGAGCAAAGCCCCAGCAGCACCATCCTTATTCCTGGGCCCTGAGCCATACTGCTTCCAGGTTTGGCTCACCTAACAGGCTCTGAGTTAGTCTGAAGGAAGAACTTGGGAAACACAATGACAAGAGGTAGGAAAATCCTCACTGGGCAGGGAGTCTTTCTCCCCTTGAGTGGAAACAAAATTTGGATTGTTCCTGTGGCATTTTTTTAGATAAAGGGCTGTGTCACTGGATGCATTCTTTTTTGTTTGTTTGTTGTCTTTTTTAAATTAAAAAGCAACCTTCCCAACCCTAGTATTGGTGCAGAAATTGTGTGAATTTTCCATAAGCAGAAAAATCCCTCCTTGTCAAGACCCAGATGGAGGTGATGGAAGTGCCCAAGTTTTCTCTATACTGTACCTGCAACTTGCATTTGAATGTTGTAAAGGACATCTCCATAACTATTCTTGAGGATAACCTGGTAGAGGTCAGAAACAAATCACTGGTGCTGTGGATAAGGTATGGGTATGGTTCTTGTCCTCCCTCTTGCTGATGTGCCTGCCTTTTTGCCACATCAGTGGTGGTGGTGGAGAGCACTGGCCAAGACAACTGCAACTGTAATGTTCTGCTTCCTGGCTCGGGCAGCAAAAGAAACAAACACCATCTCTGAGCACAAAAGGGATATCTGTGTCTACAAATGCTACTTGTACATAATCAGCCTGATAGAAAAATGTTTCAAGGACACCAATCTGGGAGATTTTTCTCAAGTTGTAAAGGCAATGGCAGGCTTTGTCTCCAGAAAAGTGCACAAAGCTGGCTTGGCTTGGGAGATGCCACAAAACCTTATGCTACAGTTCATTAGTTTGATCATCCTGAAAGCTGAGGGAACACAGTTGGTTCAACAAGATCAACTTGTACAGTTTGGACTGAGAGATGCTTTCTTACAGTGGGGCTGATTTTGCAGGGTCCTCGTGGAGCTTCAGCTCATGTAGTAGGCTTAAAAAAGAAGGAAAGCACATAAAAACTGCCATTAGCCTCTGCAGAAATGAGCCCAACATCCATGTAACAGAACTTGTACCTCAGACAAGACAGTTTTGGGACTTCAATCAGTGTCTTTACAACCCGGTGACTCCCTTAGGTCACTCAAGGTTTAATCAAGAATGATTTCACTTCAGTTAACATGAAGTGTAGTTGCATGCTTGAAAAGTTCTGCTTCTCATGATGAATCAGAGAGCTTCCCCAATGTTTTATGGTTTGTTGAACACTGCTGTTCCAGTTGTAAAGGGCTGGGTTGTGCAGCAGAAGTCCCTCTATCTCACCACCACAGGGAGGTTTATAGAAAGAGTTGCCATAACCACAGTGAGCAGTTATGCAGGACTTGATGAACCTAAAGCACTGTATGATTTTTCTCCAACAGTCAACTTTTAAACCAAAGTGACAGCTGATGTGATAAAGGCCAAAAGACAACTACAGCCTCTGTAGCCCTGCAGATACTGTATTTCACCAGATGCCCAAGAACACACTAATTGCAGGATTTCTCCTCTGGCAGGACACAACCCAGAATCTTACAGAAAGGATGTATGAATGTGTGGTGCTGTCCCAGCACAAACCACCATGTGGCTCTTCAGCCTCACAATGAGATCAAACCTGGGGAGGTGGGAATTAAAGAAAAACAGGCCAAGAGAGAAAAAAAAATTAAGAGAGTGAGGATTGCACAGAAAAGTAAAGCCATTCTTCAGTCTGTTGAGTCATGCCTGAAGATCGGAAGAAGAAACCTTCAGACTGTTTCAGCTGAAGGCAATTAGTGTAAGGGTTGCAATGTTGCCAGCTCTTCTCTTAATATCTGTGCAACCAGAAGAGAAACATTAATGCCTCAGCAATCAACTGCTTGTTGATGAACACCTGTTCCGGACAACTTCAGGTGAGGCTGGTGGAACAGGAATATTTAAAAACAATGTAAAAAACGTGGAATAAAAAAGTGTAATTTACATGTAAAATGTGAATGAGAACAAAATAAAAGAAGAGGTAGCTTTAATGCCTTATTTGATGATTTTACTGTTCAACTTCTGCCATAAGCAGTTTTGTATAATGTCAAATTTAAGTCCTATACAATAAAGATTTAAATATTTTGCTGCCTCAAATAGTAAGCTATCTAGGGATTTCATGGCAGGTCATGATACCTTCATTCTCAAGACACAATTAGGGTACTTGAAGCATGAACTCTGATAATGTTATTTCAACTTCTGCATTCTGGCACCTGACTGCTCATCCCATTCCAACTGAGGCCTGAAAGAATTATAATCCTTTTCCACACCACTGTATTTACAGCAAATGGCTGTTTCAAACATGATGGTTTACTTGCTGTAGTACCTGCTGTCCTAACCCATGCTCAGATGACAGAATCCATGTCAGGAATCAGAGAATCTTCCAAAAGTGACCTCTGTAACAACATCTGAGGTGTGACGTGAGAAGTTATATGCTGGAAAAAACAACTGCCATTACAACTGACACACCCAACCAGGGGACAGCTAAGCAAGAAGGATGGCAGAATGATTTCAGTTTGGTTCATGGACTGCACACCTTGTGCTGCTCTCCATCTCCTCTCAGCACCTTTGAAAACTGAACAAAATCCAGCAGAGCTGTGATGATAAATGTTCTCTTGTGCAAGATGAATTTCATAAAACCTTACAAAATGTGGTATATGTTAAAAACAAAAGAAAGTAACAGCTGCCAGATAGGAGTTCCTGCTGGATGAATACTGCAGTTCTTACCTGAAGGTGGCATTGCTAGAATTCCTTCCTGTAACTCCACTGCTTCTCCCATACCAGCTCCATTTCACGCCTTGCGTTCAGAAGTAGTATTTGTCTCTCCTGCAGGCTTTATACTAGAGATAGGTACCTTTGTTCACTTTCTCCACTTTTTGGTGTCCTCAGCTCATGTCTTCAGTATGTGTCCTGACAGCATGAGAACTGTGACACACTACTGTACTCACAGGCCTTTCAAGATGCTGAACCTGCAGTGGTTTGGGGTAAAAGGAACCTTAATAAACAGAGAGAAAATTCTGTCCAACAAAAGAACGCAGTTCCTAACATAACACACACATGCAGACCCTGTTTCGAGGTTGGCCATTTAAGGAAAAAACTCAAACCATTTGGCATGGGACCATCTGGATTCAGCTTGGAAAGGGAACCTTCTACAAGCACTGCCCACCACTCATTTTCCACATGTGTTTGGAAGAGATGTCTAGCATTAAAGCATAAATTTTGCTCTGTCTCTTTCTAGCTGGCTGCTGAGCTCTGCAGTACATTTCCTATAACCTGTTTTCTATGACTTTGAGTGCCTTGTGTCTCTTCTTGTTTAATAAATCCCTCTTACAGTTCTGTGCAAAGTGGTCAGGTGCTATCTGGACTGCTTGGATTACTGAATGTCCTTACTGATTGCAAGATCCTATTAATGTTCTTCAAGTTTGTTTGCCAAAGATTACAGTAGCCCTAATTAACAGTAACTTTCAAAAATACAAATCTTGTTTTTTGCTCTTTAGTCCACCTTGCAGCAGCCTCCATTATACGCACAAAGAGTGAAAGATGGACTATTAAAAAATCTGTATGTTTTTAATCAAATGAATAGGGAGCTGTGTGTCCAAATCCATATTCTGCTCTGAAAGTCTCAGCTAAAACGCAACAACCCTCCCCCTGGCACCAAAAAAGCCAACCAATGCAGCATGCCATAACAAACTTGACGCTAATGGCTTTTATACAGAACTCTCATATGAGCACACAGGGGCATAAGGATGGTGCATATGGAAGGAATGGATTCTCCTAGGTCTAATGTGAGATAATGCAAGTCTTCAAACAGGAGAAGAATCATAGCTTCAGGCTTTAAATTGGTTTTGTGTTGTTCTCTGATGTAAAGGACCCATCGAATGCTTTGCCATCTGAGTAACTATTTAACCTCAAGGCTCTCGTTTGCTCTGTAGAATTCTCTGATTTTTTAGCTATACTGGCTTCCACTCTTGGCCAGGCTTTTTTTCTAAATTATATGCAGCTACTGAGGCCCACTTAATTATCTATTACAGGATTCCATCAATAGTTTAAGCTATTTATTGATGGTATCCAACAGTCTTTTGTTTGCAAAATGCTTTAGTCATATGGCCTTATAGAGAAAGAATCCTTTGTAACTGGCACAAAATAATATCTGCCCATAATAACTGCCCAGCAGTTCTGAGGCTGCTATAATCCTCTGGAGTTTGTCTGTGATTTTGATCAGTTCAGAACCAGGTACAGATTCTTTACTACTAAAAATCCTGTATTAAAATAAAATAATGTAAGCAACTTCCATGAATCCCTCAAGAGTCTTCTCTTCTTTGAAAAAGGTTGATGGGGGACAGAAGAGCATAGTAATATTCATGAAAAATTATATTCTTTGTCATACATTAGGGCCTTGCAACCAATATGTCAGCATTAAGTACTAAAGCTATCTACACCTCAGAACACCTTCATCATGCTGATCTGTGCTGTTTGCATCTACTCAATTGCCCCCAGGTGACAATGTTTGACTAGTGTCCTTGTTTTAATAGTTACATATTTTAAGTAAATATTACTACAGTTTTAGGCACTTGAAATTGCATTTACAGCCAACAGTACTAAGACCTTCCTTAGCCTTTAGTTGAGCTATTACTACAATGCAGTCCATTGCATTGAGCTCACATTCCCTCAGACTTCAGTCCTAAAAATGCACAGATCTAGACATTGCATACATGGAAAACTAGGCATTTAACAGTGCTGATGGGAACCTTTGCAACAAGAGGTCTAGGGCATGCTAGGAAGCCCAGGGTCTGCAGGGTTCACAGCTATCACACAGGACTCGTTCTGTATCCTCCAGAAAATCATCCACTTGGAATCTGGTACCTAGAGACACACACGTTGCAATTACACAACTCTCTAATCACTCATAAAAGTGTTCCCAAGAGGTCACTAATGTGATTTTTTTTTTTTTTACTGCTTTTGGAATGAGATAAACCAAGAAGAAATTTCAGCTCACAGACTGCTGGAGAAAAATATAAATTTCAAGGGTTCAGAAATCCACTTCACTAGGTCTACTCTATGTCTCTGGTGGTCTGCTCCATTTTCATCTCTCTCTCCCTAAGGAGGAGATGGAATTTTGATACATATAATAAGAAGAAAAATGCATAATTTGCTTTCCACTAGATTATGGTCCATGGCCTTGTTTAGTCATTCATGCCAGGGAAAAATATCTTCATTTCTTCCTCCACTGACTACAGTGGGATTTTCCATGATATAATGAACTCAACAGAGCGGTCAGGCCTTCCTCAGTCTAAGTTTCAAGCAAGGTTAAAGTTCCTGACCTGGACTGAGGCCCAGCCTGTCCCTGAGCAGGGATGGGCAGCCCCCTGGGCAACTCTCCCTAGACTGTACACTGAGTGTGATGGTCTGTGGTAAAGGAATATCCTTCTGGCCAGTTCAGGTCAGCTGTCCTGGCCATGCTCCCTCCAGCTTCTTGTGCACCTGCTCGCTGGCAGAGCATGGGAAACTCAGAAGTCCTCTAGTAAGAGAAAGCACTACTTAGCAACAACTAAATCATCAGTGTGCTGTCAACATCGTTTTGCAAAATCCAAAACACAGCACCGTACTACCTACTAAGAAGAAAATTAACTCCATCCCAGCTGAAATCAGGACAATAGTGTGACTGACTGCAACTTAATTAATATGAAATTCCAACATTTTGAATGAGACAGAGGAAAGCATCCAAGAAAGAACCCAAATATTAACAGAAAAAGACAAGCAATAGTCTCGTTAGTCAGACGCTGCTGCTGACAGGAACACTCCCATGTGTTATACAAGCTGTGCTAAGCACGGATCATATGGCTGCTATCTGATGGATACAACAAAATCAGTCATTTATTTAATTCAGTTCTGGTCTAAGTCATGAAAGAGCAGTCAAATTTAGGTAGGGAGAAATGTAAAATCTAGGTTCTTGAAATTAGGCACCCAAATCCATAGGTGTGACTTTCAGAGGTGCTGAGTGTTCTGACCTCTCATTGTTGCTTGTGGGTAACAAGCCCCTTAAGCAACTTATATGGGACACCTGTCTCAGAGGCTCTACACAGAAGAAAATAAAATTAGTAGAGTACAATGCAGAATTCATTGCCTCCAAGTTGTGTGCATGTGTTATATTTGTGTGTATAAATGTATATACATATGTATACCAAGAAGTCAAGGAGAGTAACTTGTATGTTTAGGTTATTCATGGGCACAACATAAATAGTCTTTTTCTAAACATTCTTTCTTTGCCATTTCTTTACCACAAAAGTGATACAAAACCCACTTCATTGAGGATTCCAGTCCATAAAGCAAATATAGGAACAAGAGGTATCATAGAATAATTTGGGTTGGGACTTCTAAATGTCATCTAGTTCAACCTCCCTGCAGTATCTGAACTGTAGCTCCAAAAGATAGTTCAGCAGTATTTCCTAACCCAGTTAGTTTTCCATAAATGGTTTGGGTTGGAAGGAACCTTAAAGATCATCCAGTTCCAACCTCTGTGCTATGGGCAGGGAAACTTTTCACTAGACCAGGTTGCTCAGGGCCCCATCCAACTTGGCCTTGAACAATTCCAGGGATGGGGCACCCACCGCTTCTCTGGGCAACCTGTTCCAGTGTCTCACCACCCTCACAGTAAGGAATTTCTTCCTAATACCCAATTTAAACCCACCCTCCTTCAGTTTGAAGCCACTGTCCCTTGTCCCGTCACTACATCCCTCTGCAGCCACAGTGATTTTTCAGATTCAGCTTAATGGCTCCACTGTCCCCCCTCACCAAGATTTTGACTGGGAGTAACGCAGTCATTGTCTCTCTCCATCATCACCTTCTCTTCCTCTGTCTCCTCAATACCATCCTTGATGTGACCTTGGGCATTGTTTTTGCCCCTGACAGGCACCTCAATGCTAACAGTGCACTTGGTCTTCCCAGTAATGCTGTATGCAGCAAAAAGCTCAAGGTCAGATTCTTCAATAACTTGAGAATCTGGAAAGAACAGGAGACATTTGAAGGCTGCAGGTGCAAATGTACCTTGACATCTTTCCTGTGTCTGTGAATTCCCAGAAAAGATGGTCCAAAACAGGGCCCTCACACACTCCGCCATATTTTTTTACTATAAAGCTTCCGTATTTTGTGGAAGTCTTCAGGGACACTCAAAATCTTCAACAAATTTTTTTATTCAGTAAATTTAGTTCTCTTTCTTGTACAGCGAGTCAGGTGCCCTTCTTTAGTTGTGCACCTCAGCAGAAAAAGAGAAACCTCTGAGAAACAGCAAGCCCCAAAGCCCCTCATTAACCCAGGACCTGGAGATTTGTTTCCAGGCAGTTTCTCAGTTTTGTAAAGCACAAGAAGCAGCCCTCTTTGCTGTTCTTCCCTAAAGTCCCACTGGGATATATATTATGATAAAGATAGTAGAATCAAAGTTAAGTACTTGTTAGGTACTTCTTTACTTGCTTGTAAAGAAAATGTTCCCTCTTTCACTACCAAGTAATATGGGAAAATTATAAGGGTGTCCTGCACACAATAAAAAACCCAAACCCAACAGGTTCCCAATACCTGCAGGGAGCCTACAAGAGATGGAGAGAGACTATTTACAAGGGCATGTAGTGATAGGACAAGGGGGAATAGCTTCCAACTGAAAGAGGGTAGGTTTAGATTAGATATTGGAATGAAATTCTTTACTGTGAGGGTGGTGAGCCACTGGAAAAGGTTGCTGAGAGAAACTGTGGATGCCCAATCCCTGGAAGTGTTCAAGTTCAGGTTGGATGGGGCTCTGAGCAATCTGGTCTAGTGAAAGGTTGGAACTGGATGATCTTTAAGGTCCCTTCCAACCCAAGCCACTCTGTTTGCAAACATTATTTGTTGTTTTTTCTTTTACTTCTGTCACACAACCTGTATTTTTAGAAATTGCAATTCGCTGCTGAAAGTCATAAAAAGGCTTTCAAAAATAGTTTTGAATGCAGGAAAATCAACCCTTCCTATACCAAAGCTTTACTGTGGGTGTATTTTTATGCAATATAAGTATGATAAACATTCAGTGTTGCAGACACAGCACCCGGACTGCAGTTTGTCACGCTGCCTGGGCAGCGGTCTCCATCCCTGCTGCCTTGATCCAGCAGGCAGGAAGAGGCTCATTGCGACGCCGAAAGCCCATCTGGCGCCATCTGCCTGCCAAGAGCTGAGCAATACGCACATTTATCTGTTTCTATTTATAATTTCAGAAAAGGTGTTTTTCTTGTTGCTCATGACAACAACGTTTGAAGTAAAGGCTCAGCCCAAAACTCTTGATTACTGATTTATAAACACAGAATCTATGTTAGTGACTTAAAATCAACCAGTGTGACTGTTCAATTTTCTCTCCTCAGGGAACAAAGAGGCAGAAAGAGAGGTTTTGCTCATGCACACAGATTAGCCTATAAAGTGTTACCGGTCCAGGTAAGGAGACCTGGTGAAGCACTGATTCTGCAGGTGTTTGTGTACACCTGGTTAAGAACAGTAAGGAGATGAGGTGGCTATCTCCACTGACAACTCTGCCCCCATGGCTTTGAATGTCTACCTCCCTTCATGCTCCTTCCCCAGTTTGTCAGTGATCAGTTTGTGGATGGCTCCCTGCTTCACTATCCAAATCCTTTTCTAGTCTGTAATCTGACAAAAAGATCAAGGCAGGAAGCAACCCACATTGCAACAAACACAATTTCCAATTCTGTCCCTGAACCCTCTGATCAGAGTTCCCTACTCTAAGATGTGTAAGTGGTCAGGATTTCTGGCTCCTACTCTGGTAAAATGCTCTGTGATCTATGGACAAAATGAATTCAGCATTACATGGATCTGTGCATCTGCCTAGATGAGCGTCATGGCACCTACTGAAGGGTGTGCTTTGGTATGCAGAGGATACATCTACTAATTACTCTGAAAATCAGAGACTGCGAGAGGGAGAAGGGTGGGTGGTGAGAAGCCAACCTTGTGGGAAAGAGTGAGAGCCTACAGGGTGGAGAAAATGGGTTAGCAAATGTGAAAGCATCTCTGAAGGAGACTGTGAAGGAAAATTTTGAAAAAGCCAAGATCCAAACTAAAACTTAGTAAGACTGAGACTGGAGTAGACTAGGGAAGATTAGATCTGTTCTTGTCTGATCTGTCCATCTCTTCGTCCTTACTTAGAAGCTCTTTATCAATACCAGGCCAAATCCCACTAGGGTTTTGCAGCCTTTCATTATATTGATGATCCCATGGGCATTTTAACCTATTTGCCTTCTTTTTATAGTCCTTCTACCTTCGCATTGTTCAGGACAACATGGAGCTTGTCAAGATCCCAATTAAGGGCATGAATGTTCCACAATTCACGGTTGAAAATGTCATACAAAGCTCAAGTTGGAAGGGACTCGTAAGGATCACTGAGTTAAATTCTTTGCTTCTCACAGGACTACCCAAAACTAAACCATATGACTAAGCATGGACCAGACGCTCCTTAAAGTCTGACAGGCTTGGTATTGTGGAAAAAATCCCAGTGGAAGCATATGAACACAAAAACTTCAGAATTGTGAACTGAGCACTTCAAACACCAAGGAGGTATTTAACAGCAGGGAGATCAAACAAGGATCTAAATGCTCAGGTTCTCAGGATGAAAGCAGTTTAGTAAATTGGAAGAAATCCTGGGAAGAAACGGGGATGGAGAAATGCTGCTCCTACATAGTTTTTACCCTCTGTGTGTGTTCCCTGAAGGGAATGCAGCTATGGGAACCCAGAACTGGAAGCAGAAGACTGCCCCTTGGCACTGCTCCATTCCCTTAGCTGGGTACAGAGGAGCTGTCAAACCAGAGGAACAGTTCCTCTACTGCCTACACAGTATTTGTTTCTGAACCTGAACTCCACAGAGGGAAAGGTGAATCTATAACTAAGACAACAGACTGCAATTCCAGGGTACAGCAGTCAGAAGTAGCTCAGACAAGGCTTCCAGGTTAGCTGTGCCACAAAGGGGTTTCTGTCCTAGAGGAGTGGTCAGGGTTGGCCCCCACTAGACACTTTCCCTTCAGGCCACCCTGGCCATGTCCTACAGAGGGCACTCAGAGACCAGGTTTGGAACCCATTCTCCAGGAGTAAGGACTTCCACAACACCAGTCACACTCAACTCTGATCACAAAATCAAGCCTCACCAGGCTGTGCACCTGGAAAACCCAGGGTTTCCAGCAAAATGCAAGTAATAAAGTGACCTGGAGAGGCCTGTGGCTAGAGGAGCTCCCCTGGGGTCAGTACTGTTTAATTTACTCATCAATGACCTGGATCAAAGGACAGAGTGTACCCTCAGCACATTTGCTGATGATACAAAACTGAGAGGAGTGGCTGATACACCACAAGGCTGTGCTGCCCTTCTGTGATACCTGAACAGGCTGGAGACTTGGGCAGAGAGGAACTTGATCAAGTTCAACACAGGCAAGTACAGGATCCTTCACCTGGGGAGGAATAACCCCAGGCACCAGCACAGGCTGGGAAGCAGCTCTGTGGAGAAGGACCTGGGAGTCCTAGTGGACAACAATCTGTCCATGAGCCAGCAGTGTGCCCTTGGGGCCAAGAAGGCCAAGGGTATCCTGAGATGGACTAGGAAGAGCACTGACAGCAAGATGTAGCAGTTGACCCTGCCCCTCCATTCAGCCCCAGTGAAGCCTCACCTGGAGTGCTGTGTCCAGTTCTGGGCTCCCCAGTTCAAGGGAGACAAGGCACTACTGCAGAGGGTCCAGTGGAAGGCCACAAAGATGATTAGGGCACTGGAGCACCCCACTGATTGGGAAAGGCTGAGGGAGCTGGGCCTGTTTAGCCTGGAGAAGAGATGACTGAGAGAGGACCTTACTGATGTCTATAAGTATCTGAAGGGAGGGTGTCAAAAGGGTGGAGCCAGACTCTTCAGTAGTGCCCAGCAACAGGATAAGGACAGGCACAAACTGAAACACAGGAAGTTCCATCTGAACACGACGAAAACCTTTTTTACTTTGAGGGTGACAGAGCACTGGAACAAGCTGCCCAGAGAGGTTGTGGAGTCTCCTTCTCTGGAGATATCCAGAACTCACCTGGATGCAATCCCATGAAGCCTGCTCTAGGTGAACATGCTTTAGCAGGGAGCTTGAACCAGATCTCTTACCATGTTACCAAGAGAATATTCAGTTGTTACTGCACCTGTGAAGGATACACTACAATCATTTAATCCTCCTCCTATGTAGTTAATTTCAAAATGGTCTTAAAATGCTGTGCTGGAAGGCACCTGGGCATAGTTGAAAGCTGGTCCACATCTAACAGAAGTCATTTCAAAGACTAACAGACACTAAAATCCACACCCTGACTTTGAAATTCTCCTCCAGCCTTTGCTGACAGCATGAAGCTAAGCTTTACAACTTCCTGGCTTTCTTAGCAGCCTTGTGTATTTCTGTAAAAGTCACAGACTTAAGCTTACAGCATCAATAATGCTACTGCAAAATTAATTCACAAAATAAATGTGATATTAAATATTTACCAGTCTCATGTTGTGATTCTGGTCCTCAGCAGACTGCAGTCAAATGTCCCATGGGTCACTTTAAAGAATCAAGATAAGAATACATTAGAGCAACCCTGATTAAAATGAAAAATATGATACACTTTACTAGGCTGGTTAAGGTGACAGGTGTAAGGACTTGAATGGAAGATTTACTGCTTTGTGCTTCTACCACTTCATCCAGCAAAGGGAAGTCCCTCATTATTACCTTCATATTACCAAGAGGAGGTAGAAACGAGTGTCATATTCCATGTTAAACAATAAAAAGACTGCAGAGCAGTGTAATTTTACATTAGTTTCCTATCTGTTACAGCAAAGGAGCACTGCTCCACTGCAGAGTTCACTGAACAACAGTGTAAAGACAACTATTCCTCCTCCTCTTCCTCTCCTGAGTCATTCATGCTTACCCTCCACAGTTACACTGGTACTGCTCTATTGTCATTGTTATGGTCACTATGCAATCTCCTGATTGCACTCAGCTCAGTAGCATTAAAAATAAACTCTTCTCTCTTCCCTTCCTGCCTCATGGTGCACTTAGGAGACCTCTCAATCACTCACTTCATCCCCTTCAGGAAGGGGAAGGGATTGGCAAGAAAAAGTGGCACATACCAGCAAGCACCTTATAAATTGAAACAGGTGGCTTTGCCTTTGCAGGATATAACATGGTCTCCTGTGCAGGAGAGACACAAGGCTTGGGACTTTAAGTGGGAAAAGGAGCTCTTTTTGCTTGCTGTCCACAGACAGGCTTTATGAGACCGCAGCTTTCAATTTTGTCAGCCCAAACTCTGGGGTTTTTTGTTTTTGCTTTACAGATTTCACAGCTCAGACCCTGTTGTCTTGCATTTGATCCACCCACTGTTCAAAGATGGTTATTTTGCATCCCTTACGATCAATGAAGAGCAGAGCCTTCTGCACTAGATCTCCAGTGTTGTTAACATGTGAGTTCTTTAAAGTCATTGGACTGAACACCCTTAATTTTCACAGTGTGGGACAGTTCACTGTCAGTTGTAATAATTTCATAAACATATCATCCCACTTCAACTATTTCCCATTGACCTTCTAGGTGAAGCTTTACAGTTTTGTTTACCAGGTGGATTTCAAGCACTGCTGTCACTTTCAGTGGTTCCTGTTCTGTCAGGAGTTTGGAGCCTACCTGTTAAAATACTCAAAAGACAAACATTCATTCTGTTATTTTCAGTTCTTGATATCCAGATTTCTAGACTAAATAGCAAGATGTCAGTGAAATACTTTTGATCTCTTGAGTAGCAGCATAAACATCAATTAATTCCTTTAATTTCAGTGCAAATTAAGCTATCTACAGGTCAAAGTGTTCAGTAAAAGCTGCATATAACCCTATAAAGCTGGTTACCAACAGACACACCACTTTTCTCTTCAGTTTGTCTGTCTTAGCTCTGCTCTTTTTCCTTTCCTTTACTGTAGGTCATTGTAAAGTAAATGGTGTCAGACAATTGCAGATGACATCTGCAAGCACACCTGCAACCATCTGAGAAGTTGAAGCATGACTGCCATATTACTGCTTTATCTGTCAAGAAAGCTGCAGTGCCTGGCATAACTATTTGGTTAAGTCAGGCAGTCAACCACACTACCAAACAGCCTGTGCCAGAGCTTAACCAAAAAGATAATTATTATAATTAAAAAATGGTACTTATGGCAAAGCTCATCTTTAGGAGATGGTCCTGCTGCAATAAAAGACAAAGCAGGTAGGCAGCATCACTTCTAATCAACACTGATTAAAAGCAAGTCTGCTGTATATAATGAGGTTGGTTTTCCTTCAAACAACAGAAACACTTTTGGCTGGTCATAGGAAGAACATGCAGCTGAAAAGAGATCCTTCTTATTATGCCCAGGCCTGTCCCCTCACTCCAGAGTGTTATAACTCCAAAGTGTTTGCTCGAGCAAAGTTCGCTTTCACTAAAAGGACAGTGCCAAGGTGCATTTTATCATTCCCATCTTTTCCGCTAAAACTAGTCCAAATTCAGTAGTGACTCACACCCCTGCCACACTGACGTCAGTGGAGAATTTGGCTTATTATGTGTAATAACTAGGCTTCAAACTGAAATCTGCTATCTCTTGAAAGGTGTTTTCACATGGGTGCTCTGGTAATTGTGGGTTGGTTTATGACTTGTACAAGTTAGATTTCTGTTTGAGCATAAAAAGACCAGTGAATCACAAATGTTGCAAAGCCATGTAAGAAGAGAAAGTAAGTCAATTTGGCCCACCTTTTTTGACCCTCATATTGTGTCTGCAGATGTTAACATTGTACACAGAACCTGTGTACAGGATTTGAGAACAAACATTATCTATTATTCTCTGCACAGCAGTTTCCTGTCAGCCACAGAGGACTGTAGGTGCCTGATCTGCCCCCTTCACAGTGGAGATGCAGAGCATGTATTTCAAATCTATGTGCTTCATATTATTTTTTCTGAGGTAATACAGAGGACACAAAGGATCTCCCCCATGATAAGCAGAATGCTCGCACCTTTGGAAACGTTCTTTTTGTGCAGTGGACTCAGAGAGCAAGAACCACAGAACTCAAAGTCAGCAGGGGTGGATCCTGCTTCACCCCACTCTACTTGCAGCAAATGTGCCCCGCAAAGACTCTCCACTCCGTCTAACTTCAAAATTCTTACAAGTGTAGTTGTTAGTAACTGGTCTAGCAATAGCCAAGCCAGTCCTGCAGATCTTACCTTTAGCCATGATCAGGATACTGTGAAGATGGCATCAGTGTAGGTACTGGGCACTACAGAACCATAGTTATCTGCATCATCTCAGGAGAAGCATTCTGACTGGAAAAAAACAAAACACAGAGAAAGCAATAGGCAAAACCTCCAAGTAGGCTGGGTTGGTAGGGAATGGATATGTCAAAGGTATTAGTGAACTCCTCTTTTTATTTGTGTTTACATTAGTGGTTTTTTAATCACTAACAAAACTGACCTGTTGAAAATCCAGAATCTCTGAGAGCAGAAATTCTGGGACCAAATCCAATTCTCCCTTCTCTCTAAAGATCCTTGAGAGCCTTCCCAAAGCCCCAGAAACACACAGAAGTCTTCCCATCGATAGTGATGAATTTTGGATCAGGTACCTTCTTGGCCTAAGGCAGCAAAAGGAAGCCATCCTTCTCAGAGACATTCCTTTATTCTGATGCTCTGCACTGGAAGGGAGTACTCCCCCTGCACTGCAAAAGGAATACAGAGACCAGAGGAGAGTGAACGGATACTCTTGGACTTAGAAGTCCAGGGTACTGTAGGAAAAGAAAAAGACAGTTTGATCTGCCCTAGCTGGCAGATTTGTAAACAAAGGACTGGTTCAGAGAAGAGGTGAATTAGGGTGAAATGAGAAATAAGGAAAGAGGAGAAAAAGGGACAGAGAAAGGGAAGAAGAAGAACAGAAGAAGGACAGAATTTTTTCAGCAATGGGACAACACAAATTAAACAGGGCTGAACTGGGACGTGTGCCCTGAATAATATTGTGAATTACGAAGGTTTAGCATTGGTTTTGCCTGAATGGCACTTCAAGGAAGGACACTGACCTGTTGGAGTGAGTCCAGAGGAGGGCCACTAAGTTGATGAGGGGGATGGAGCACCTCTTCTATGAGGAAAGGCTGAGAGAATTGGAATTGTTCAGTCCGGGAAAGGCACGGTTTCAGGGTGACCTAATCACAGCCTTCCAATATCTGAAAAGAACTCACAGGAAAGATGGAGAGAGACTATTTACAAGGGCATGTAGTGACAGGACAAGGGGCAATGGCTTTAAACTGAGAGTAGATTTAGATCAGGTATTAGGAAATAATTCTTTACTCTGAGGGTGGTGAGGCACTGGAACAGGTTGCCCTGAGAAGTTGTGGCTGCCCCATCCCTGGAAGTGTTACAGCCACATTGGATGGGGCTCTGAGCAACCTGGTCTAGTGAAAGGTGTTTCTGCCCATAGCAGAGGGGTTGGAATTAAATGATTTTCAATATGCCTTCCAACCCAAACCATTCTATGACTCTATAACACACAAGCTGCATTAGCACCTCACTATGCTCAGTGCAAAACTAAGTACCAAAAATAATGGTTCCTGTCCTGATGCTCTTTTTCTGTTGATCAGAAACACCACCCTATACATACACAGCAATATTTGAGAGTGGTACTTCTGCAGTAGGCTGACTGTTAACAGGGACCTTTTTATTTTTGCTGAGGAGTACTATAGTGCCTAAATTTTTCTTTTTCTATAGTGTGGGAATAAAAAAATAATGAGCTAATGGCACATGCTTCTTAAAAATGCTGTCAAAAACATTCTGGATCCTTCTTCTATTGGTACTCACTCTCTCTACTCCATATTACATTAAGGTTTGGTTTACTTTTAGCTTTAGCTCAGAATATTGCTTTTTCTCCTAAAATTGAAGAAGAAACATTGGAATTTATGAATGAATGAGGGAAATGGAACAGGGGCCTGTTACCTACTTTCTCTGTTTGAGTTTATTTTAAATCATGTTTTCCTTTCCTATCTGCTTTATAGAAGAGATTAGAGTAACCTTGCTTTATTTTACTTACTGTACTTCTTACAACTTTACATCCATCACAGAGACCACTCTGGAATGAAATTTTTTCATTAGCTGCTCTCTGCACACGGACAGGAATGATTTGTGACTTTTTCTGATAATATACCACAAAAAATAAAGACTCATATGATCTTTCTGTCACTTTAGACAGTCACAGATCTGTCATATGGGAGAGATTATACATGACGGAAAGGCTTATTTACTTATGCATTAAAGGTCACATTCTTCCAGCCCCAGCCAAATAATTCGATCATGAGTTCTGCATAAATAAGAACTGCTGTATTTAAATCAATAAGGACAAGTTTCCAGCAGCTAAAATCAACTAAAATGAACAGCAGCATTCCTACTGCTCTGACTGATCCATGAAAAATCTCTAAAATCAGTGAGGATGGGGATAGGTAACTGCAGTTTGCACCTGGTTCTGCCTACCACTCTTCTGTTACACAGGATGACAGATTGTATTTCCTTGCATGAGATGAGTGAATATATCTATGAGCACCTGAAAGTACAGTCAGTTATTGCCATGTACTCACTAAAGGTCTTTCACTAGATATAATTATTACTCACCCTGAAGCGTTGTCAATGGACAAGGTTTTCCCACAAATTCAGGAATGCTTTCTCCAGCAAGGATCTCAAAGGAGCATGTCAGCATGCTGAAAGACTCCAATAAGGTAGAAGACTTCCTAGAAACAACTGCTTTGGTTGGGAAAAAATTATGTTACTTAAGCAGAACAATGAGGTACTGTTTGCAAGATTTATTTACCAGGAGTGGGAAAGAGTGGATACGATAAGAAGTCCCAAAACATAAAGTTACACAGAGAACTGCTTGTCACCTAAAACTCTTGAGAGAGAAAGCTCTGTGCAGCAGGAATAGTGTCTGTAGGAGGCTGCTGATCAATTCCCTGCCTTTTTTTCCTGACTTTCTGTAGGGTTTTGGGCAAGTAACTCGCTCTCTCTGTATCTATCTTGTCATCTACACAATGAGAAAATTGGGCTGCCTTGCTGCGCAGGAGTGCTGCAAGGTGCTTTGATGTTAGATGTCATTCAAGAAAGGCATCAAAACTGGATGTATCCTAAGTCCTATCAGAACTTACTCTGTTCTGCACAAGCTGCACTGAGCCTTCAGTGCTGCTCATGTCCTATGTTAGACAAATGCCCATAGTTTAAGACAAATCCTCCTGCATAAAACTGTTTCATTTCAGGAGGTTTCCAAGAGCTACACTTTTCCATCAGAATGAATCCATTTAGTTTGTGTTTACATTAACTAGTTTTTAAGTTCAGGTAAAGCTACTTTTTTTCCAGTCAGACTGACAAGCAAGGAGCTGGCCTTGAATACCCTCTGTTGGGGGAGGAACCACTCACTGTATAAAAAAAATTCCCCATAATAGTAAGTAATGAGATTTGTAAGCCTCCTCAGATCACAAGATTTCCCGTTTCTTGATGAGACTGGAACCAAATTCCAGAGCTCAAAAGGTTGCACTTGAAGGATGGGACATTGTTACTGCTTGTCACCAAGACTCACCTTGTACATACCTCGACTGTGTGCAAGAAAAAAACCAAAATGATAATGTAGGCAGGCCTGTGGTCTCAGGAACACGAGTCAAGCCATGGGCACTCTGCAGAGAGATTAACTTCACTCATCACATAACAGTGTGGCTATCATGCTCTTCACAGGGCTGTAACATCAACATTAACAGCATCAGCAGACATTTACCAGGAGAAACAAATCTCAAGAAAAGACCTGTCAATACCACTGAAGCACACACAGCAAAGAAATGGTACAAGCAAGTCATAATTTTAGTTTTAGTTACAGAAAACAGAGTTGAACAAGCTTGATTAACTCTTTTGTAGGTAACTGAGTCTGCCCTCCACCACAGTTGTCACAGCCCTTTTCCTCCTGGTTTTGAGTGTCTCAAGGAGCTATACTTCAGAGTGGTACTTTACAAGATTCCTTTCTTGGAAAAGGGAAGGAAAGGAAAAGCAAAGTATATATGAGTCTAAAGGTATTGAACTCAGCCAATTCCCACCCTATCTGCCCACAGCCAGAGAACACAAGCATTGACAACATTTCTGAGAATATCTGTTTATGTAAATTTTACCTTTTTATCTCAGCTGCTAAGTTCCTCATTGTTCATCCTCAGGGAAAGGAGCTTTCAAGACCATTACTGATACTTCTCGTACCCCTCAGCTCACATGAAGTCCTGTAGATTGTTGCATTCCTAGAGAGATGCCTGGATCCCTTTACACTGGACAAATGCGGTATCGAGTAGTTCAAAATTTAAATACATACTGGCCTCTTGTGGGCTGTGTTGTTACATCCTTTACAATCCTCAGCAGTTTCTCAACTTTGGAATAACAGGACAATAAAACTTCAAACATGAGGCTAAAAGGAATAAACCTTCTGTAAGTCAAAGGGATACCTTTTTATTTAAAAATAAACATTATCTCCTAGGTTTTCTTGTGATTGATTTTGACACCATTTCAAAACTTTGTTCAAAGGCAGACTATTAAACAATTTACCAGTCTTGTTTTTCTTATTAAAAATAAAACATGTGGTTCCAGGTTTCAAACAGTTAAACATTCAAGAAATCCTGCTGTAGTGTTTAAGTCATTCTCCTGTGCTCCTTTCACACCTCCAGGCTTGGGCTTTGTTTATTTTACAGCTGTACATGCAGCAGTTTCTATCATTTCCAAGTCCAGTCGGTTCATTCAGTTAATGAAGCAGAGATTAGGTGTTTTAGAAAATCTGTTCAGAACTTTAGATTACACAGGTAATTTCTTAATTGGTTCTCTTCCATTCCTTAATAAGTCTGAGATTCTGTCACCCTCCTTCCTATGGAGAAGGACTTCATTTCCAATGAGCAAGGCACATTTTCCAGGAGGGAGTGAATTGCAGATCTCAGCCCTTGTATTTAGCTCTCTTTCACTTTACTAGTGTTAATCACAGTGCAGGTACAGGAGATTGTTTTACGTGTGCACATCCATTCTGAAGGACACAAACCACATATCTTGTTTGCCACAAAGGCTTAAAATATAAAGTAGCAATAACCCGCTTAACTGCCCACATTTGATTTCTTTTTGGAACAGAATGCTGTTATCTATTCCATATTTATGTTAAATTCATTTGAAAAGGGAATCTAATGCAACAGGCACTTCAGTTATGCTTTGCAAAACACAGGAACTCAGAAAACCAAAGAACATGAAAATCTAGCCAACTTCTACAGACTGATGGGAATGATTATAGGGGTAAACTATGAAAAAGAAATGGCCAACCCACCCTTCCACCCCCTCCAGGAATTTACCACCTTTTCCTGATGATTTTAAGGTGATTTCTGCTAGTCTACAAAAGAAAGAGGAAGGTGAAAAGTTTCACAAAAATCAAGGAAAAACATCCAGAGGTTGAAACATTGTCAACTTTTCCAGTGAGCAAAAAATACCACATACAGACAGCCAAAATAAACACATGCTGTAGTTCACAGGCTAAAGAAGGAATCCAGCAAGACAGACACTCTGCTCTCTTGCCTAGAAGCTTGTGTTCTTATTAACACAGATCAAATCAGAAGTGCGTGGAAATGGGATTGGTCATGTTGTAAAGTGGATTAGGTATTATTAATTTCTTGTCTAATAAATGTATCAAGAAACCAACCTCCACTTACCTCTTCAGTATTCTAATTCAGCCAAAAGAGCCCAACTTAGATACAGAGAAACCCAGTATCTGGGCTGGAAGTCGTATTTTTCCCAACAAAAACAAAACACTGCCAACCCAATCCAACTCCTCCCATCTATTCAAATGGACTCAAAAACCAGGCACTGCCCTTCTGTGTTCAATTCACAGTGCTCGTGAATCTTCCTTTGTGCATCTGTTCTTACACGAGCTACCACGGCACGTTGAGCAGCGTCTGTGTATGCACACACTCCACTGTGGGGGGAAAACCAATGCACGTGAATGAGAACATCTCTCAGTTTTAGCCACACTGCCACACACTGGCCTCCAAAAGGGGAGGAGTGACTCTGAATGATCTCTTCATTAGCCTGACCTTTGCGCTGCTTGAACATTTGCTTTCTGTATTGCTCACAACAGCCTTAAGACCAAGAAGGCCAGAGTGGCTGTAGTGAAACTAATTGTATCTGGTTTTCCTTCTTTTGAGATAGAAGGAGTCAAAACTAATTTACAAGAGGAGGTTTCTGTTGTGTTTTATTAGTTTTGACTTCATTCCTGACCGTCTTCCTTGTGTCCACGTCAGAGGCAAACAAGTTACCATGCAAAGGAGAAAGAGCAAAAGGATCTATGCAGGATTTTTCCCCTCTGATCCCTAGAGAGAAGTATTGCCTTTGCCTTTTCAGAGGAAAGCAGACACCTTTCAGCTGCTATTGGGACTAGGGGAGTTAAAGCCAGACATAATAAGAAAACTGACTCAGTCAAATGCTACTGTTTCTCAAACAAGAAACTCCTTTAGCAAGGTGCACATAACTGCAGACTTCTGTCCTCAAAATTCTGGAATGAAAAGGTAGGTAGAACAAGCTGAGCCCTCTGAAGACAGTTTAGCAAGACAGGCTCTCTGCAAGGGAAGGGATAATTTCTGGAAAACACTGGCTATTGACATATTGGATTAAAACTAATGCAATACAGTAGCTTATTTAGTTCTATTTTAAGCTTAAGCAGCAACAGGCAGATAAGAGATAAAGCAGCAATAGGGAACACTGAAGTTGAGTAGCATGGTCCAGCAGAGAGAAAGGGTCAGGAATTGCAATACCTGAGTCCTTTGCCAGATTGTTTAAGCTTTATCTTCTCAAATGCTCTGAGCCATACTGCCAGCTCTGGTGCCAACATGGCTTTTAATTCTGAGTAAATAATTCAGTCTTTCTCTTCATTCAGCTTTGCTATCAACTGAGTAAACCTGACACTGCTGCCCTGCTGGGGATTACATGGCACACAAGCTTGGGCAGGTCTAATCGTAACCCCTTCTGTGACTTTCACACCAGGCCAAGAGAATGCAGCATCTGCTGTGTTCAGGTGCTGGAGCCTGATCTGTATCAGTGCTCAAAGGAGAGTGGACTTTTCTCTTTCCTTGCATGTAACCAAAGGAATCAACCTCTTTGAATATGTGACATTCACTTTGAGACACTTGAAATTAACACTTGGGTTGCTTAGAGCATGCAGTTCTTTGACTGCCTGTACCTTATGCACAAAGCTGCAAATGCTGCTTTCATTCACATACTTCTTCCGTGCTTTTGAAAGGAGTATTTTTTTTCCTTGCAGGACTCCTGAGCTGCCTTACACTATCCTAAGTTGATAGTCACTCTTGCAGACACCAGCAAATGTACATCTACAGACGTGGTAGAAGAAACAAGGTTATTCCCCACATATCTCAAAAAAGTGCTTTGTTTCTTCTCTATAACAAGTCTGTAATACACATGTAAGTCAAAAATAGAGTGACATGGTTATGATTAACAAATTGTAGATTTATCATAGCCCTTTGTTTAAACTATCTTCCAGGGAAAGAGCACATGAAAACATGATAGTTCAGGTCCACTTCTAAAACCTGCCGACTTACAACCAATAGACATACACTTTCTCAGGCCACCTATGTGCAAGCTGCATGATTTCTCCACTAAAGAGACAGCAGGGAAGTGACAGGAACCAAGGTCCTGTTTAGTGATGTCTTCATTCTCAAGCTCATTTTGCAACTGTAAATTCACAGGTTAAGATTTTCCAAAGTAGATTAATTATAGAGGAAAGGTCCAGAATAAACAGATACTTTTGAAAATCTTGCAAGGAATGCAGTTCTCTACCCTACATGACTGCTGGGCAGTTGACATTTCAGAATAATTCGACCAAGTCATCTTTATCTTGATCCTTCAGAGAATGAAATGTGCTTTATCTGGGAACAGCTCTTATGCTCAAGTGCATCTAAGTTTTTGTTTTTACATAACTCTGGTATCTGCTGATCCCAGACTACCTACAAAAGGACGGAATGTGCCATTAGTCTGTTACCATGACAGAAGTATAAACAGGATAACAAAAGCATGATGACCAATGACCAGCAAGAAAGTGGGGCACTGAGCTGGGGTCTGCCCTGTTCACAAAGTGTGAAAAAGCCTATGAAACAGAAGACATCACAGTTGGTTCTAAATAAAACCATCTCATGTTTGTTATATGCTTACCCATCTGCAGAGAGGAATTCAGTTCTCTGGGAAACAACTGTGTTGCAGGTATTAGTGCTGTAGCCTTCAGTTCACCGAGGCCTGGACAGTGAGCTGGAGAGGGTGGATGAAGTATGCTTGGAATTTTCATTTAACGAAGAGTGCCCAGTAAAAAGACAAGTCTAGCAAGACACACAGCTTAGCTTAGTTCCTATTGTCAGCTCAGTTTCAAACATACTGATTACAGAAGCAGCAGCCCCACTCATCTCAAGTGCTTGTGCACGGCCAGAGCTCCTTTCTGCTAATCTTAAGCACTTCTTAAGGCTACCTCTGCTGTCAGAAGAGATCAGAACAGCTGATAAAAGGTCCTTCAGACCTCAAATTCTATTTAAAAAAGAGTAAAGAGAAAAAAGAGACAGAAATATATTAATTATGGCAAGGCCAAAGAGCAAATAGGAGGATTAGTTCCAAATCTGTTAGACAAAATAACGTTTCAAGAGGCATTTGAATATTTTGATCCTGACCAAGTGGTATGCTCTTGCCTATGAGATGGCAGCAGTGCAGCCCTCATAACCAGACTGTGCAACTGGGCTGACACGAGCTTTGTAGCAGTGAATTGATTCAAAACAGCCTGATTTTATCAATGAACACTCTCTCAGGGCATTCCACACATGCAGAGTGGGAGTGGACAAGCAGGCTGGATTTCCTCCTTCGGTATAAATTGTTCACTTCTACTCAAGTCAGTGAAGCACTGCCAACTAACACCTGCTGAGGATCTGTGCAAGGACCTCAAGGTCAGTATCTTAAAGCCCTTTATACCTTATTTGCCACAAAGTTGTTCTCCTCTAGAAAGTCTCCTTGTGCAGGAGGCAACTTACACATTGAACTTAGCTCCTATATGCACACTCCTATAAATCATCAACAAATATTCTTTAGCAGATGCACGGGAAGCTGATGACAGAGCAAGTAATTTTATTCATTGAGCCAGTTTTGACACTGAAGGGCACTGAAAGCTGAAAACATTTATAAGGAGTTCCACTTACAACGTTATTTAGAACATCAGTGGTGATTTTGTTATTTCTAAGGAGTGTTTAGATGGGATACTGTTACTCCTTTGAAAAAATGAGTAGCTGTGGGAGAATATAGCTATCAAGATTTACATAAAACTAACAGTCATGTTATGCTCAAAAGCTTAAGTTTATTGCTCTATTTAATGACTACCACCAGTATTTTAAAAAAGAATGCCAGTTCTTCCTGCTAGCTTCTCACTGAAGGAAATATTTTAAATACAGCAATAAAATCAAGAGGTTTAAAGATAACACATTTTGCCACACATTCATGCAAACCCTGCAGACAGGATTTTTACAGGTTCATGGATACAGAATAAACACAAAGGTGTGTACTGAAATAATGGGAAACTTTCCCCACAGTGAAGAAGTTGTAGGCATAACATCTCAGGGCCTACCCTGCACCTACTGACGTCAATGGCAAAACATCATTGGGAGCAGGATCAGTCCTTATTGTTCTGAGAGCTGCTTTACCTGCTCCTGACTATCAAGTGCAGTAAATTCGCAGAATCTCCTGCACTAATATAAGCAGTGGGTGTTGGTTATTGTTACAAATAAAGAGAAGCAAAAATATTTTTAGTAGGTCATTACAGCTTCTATTCACAAAACACTCATCTTTCATGTCAAGGATCCTGCATACCTCCATTTTTCTCTGCTCAGTGAAGCACTTAAACATGTGGTTACCTGTAAGCATTAAACACAAAATACGGTCTTCACAGCCTGACTGAGTTCTGAAACAGAAAAGATGGGCAGCAGGTTGTAATAGTTAAAAGGAAACACTAGTGGTTAGAATGGGCTAATGATTGTCTAAATTTGGGTTAAGGGCAAATTTATCAAAAAGCAGCCAACAAGTTCAGAATGATTTTTTTTTTTTAAAGCTGCCTACAGAATTTATGTTAATTTTAATAAGCATTGGGCACCCGGTCACCTTCAAAGTTTTGAAATGAGTTTAAATTCACAGATTACAAGTGATTTTATTAACAGATTTTTAATAAATATGAACTCACAAAATTCCTCACCCGATTTTGAATCTCAGATTTCAGAGGAAATTGTATTCAGATTGTGGTCTGACTGCTTAAAAATAGAAACTATCTGCAAGTTTGCCAGATGACTGAAATGCCAAAATATTGACAAAGAAAAGGTAAAGTGTGAAGAATTTATGTTCAGATCTGCTTCTACTATTCGTCTCATATTCAGCCAGCCGTCATGGTACTGAGCTACAGTGCTGGTAAGAACTCAAGGTTAGAATTTGAGGCAAGGATTTGACTCACATAACTGAAATATTTTCCCCCCTTTAGTTCTGATAACACTGGTGGTGGACTGCTTCAGAAAAAATAAACAAGCAAACGTGATGTGTGAAACATCATTTCAATGTGAATCTACTTGAATCTTTCAATGCAGAGGCTCAGAAAGTTTACGATATACACAGTATTCGGTAATTTTATATGTAAAAACAATCAGAAAGAGGCAAAAAGTTACTTTCAAGCTTAGTCAACATACGGCACATTGCAGCATGACAATTCAAAAAGTTTCACACTGTATTTGGATATATTAGCAATGATCTTTTAAAAAGTAGCAAACTGAAGACAGTGGATTTTTTCTGATTTTTTTTCTTGCTTTTGTAACAAATGAAGCTACTATTCTTATTTACAGTATAAATAAGCCTTTTTTGGTGAAGATTATGTCCTGTCACGTATGTTTAAGACAAGGTGTATCTCAGCTCTTAAATGTCAATGCAAACAAGAGCATAAAAGCAGTATCAAAGTAAAATAATATATCTTTCCAGCTAAGACAGCCAGGTTACCATGTGTCTCTTATCAGATCTGAAATATATCTGAATGCAGTCAAAAGTTCTCTTGGCTTTAGCCTTTAGGAATATAATGGACATTTATTCTTCTGCTGTTCTAGAAAGCTGTTTTCCGTACAAGCTCATGACATGATGGACAAATTGATACTGTTCACAAGTCTGGATCATTCCTCCCCTGAAAAGGAAAGAAAAAAAGGGGAGGGAAATAGCAGTCTTATTACATGCAAGCACATGAGGAAACAGCACAGCTAACATGCAGCTTGTGCTACAAACCAAAGGTCTATTCCAAAGCTTCCTGAAATGAGTGAGAAATGCCCCTTGATTGCAACCAGCTTGCAGTCTGACCTTGAGCTCCATTTTAAAAGTCCCTGTTGAGCAAGGAACAGAAGGCCGTGAGAACAGGAATGGGCTTTATGTTCATTTTCCTTGTCAGAGGAAACACCATCGTCATTTATATTCATATTACCTGAGCACTTGTACTCCAAGAAGTCCACTTTAAACACCATGAAAAGCAATCCCCACCCTAAAGCTCTAGAGAGAGAGATGGGAGCAGGGGAAATAAAGAAGGGAAGTAGCTTATCCAAGACTTCACAGCTGCACAAGGGACTGAATTTGGGACTATAGAGAGCTAGGCCAGGCCAGCCCAGCCCAGACAACTGATGCAAATTTCTCATTCTGCAACGAGGATTCTTTCCTCTGTGCCATCCCATATCATGATTTTGGCAAGTTCACCAGGGAGCTCTAGGGATGACTAGCAGGATTTTGGAACAGACAATGTAGCCTTTGAAAAGTTACTCAGATTTGTAGCTGAGTTGACTATAGTGCACACCTTGACAGTAAAAGACTCCCAGCAGAGTAACCTATTTTGGTTCAGCTTGTTTTTCAGCTTTTGCTGTTCTCTTTAAAACTGCAAACCTGAAGGGAAGTGCAAGCAGGAGCAAAACCAGTTTGATTTTCCATGTATCATTAACCTGTGTGTTTCTGCAAGTAGCATATTAAGCAATACATGGGTACTACAAGGAGAGAAAGAAATGAACAAAAATAATCAGGATGAAGTTGCTAATTTTAAGCAAATTTTACAAACATTTAAAATTCTGCCAAGAATACCTCATCAAAGGTGCCACGACCTCTTGGTAATCCATTAGAAAACAACTAAAACCCACGGCTCAAACTCACAAAAAGTGTATGCAGAATTGTGGCAGCACTGGTGCTGTAGCACAGATCCTGGGGTCACGGTGCCAAAATGAGGCTGAAATGACCAGTGGGGTTGAGCAACATGGGAACCTGTGGGTGACCAGAGCCAATCAGACTGTGTCAGTCTGAGGAAGTGCCTGTGTGGTGCATTCCCTTAGAAACCTTCACCAGAGGAAATTAATGGAAGTTGCTTCCTCTGAACCAAATGGATAGCAGACTGCTAACACTCTCCTTGGGGACTGCCCTCTTCTGTGGAGTCCAGCTTCACAATTTTGGGTCACACAGTAACCACAGAAGTAAGGGGGAGATGAGTAGGCAAGATATCCTCCTCCAGCCTTTCGCAATTATTTTGTTAAGCCGCTCCTTGAAATAACACTTAACAATGAGCAGGGAAGGGCAGGGACCCATGCTCCAACTCTCATCAATTAGCAAAGGTGAAAAACACCCACTGTGTTTCTAAAAAATGTATTTCCTAGCTGAGCATCTCCCCCCCACCTGCTCTACTTAATACAAGCTCACAGTTGATCTATTTCTGAGCCCCTCCGTGCCACACACAGGATTGAAATGTATCTACGTCAGCCTGTGACACACAAGGAATGTTAGTCATATCAATTAATCCCCAAGCAATTCCATTAACAGTGGGGTTGCACCCAGAAGTTGTAGCAACACAGGCACTAAGGTGGTCATCGAATTTCAGACCACAGGAAATTATTTTCCTTTTTATCTGATTCCCTGCTACGTGATGGCTTCCTCCCTCCCCACACATATGCATGCCATGACATGTGCTTGCTGTCCAAGCTTTGGCATAGAATAGACAAATTATGTTTTCACCCTTTTTTGCCACGGAAACCTTTCAAATCTGAGTTGCTTTGTGGGCAATGACAGCAAATGTCTCTCAGCACTGTGGGAAGGATGCAGGAATGATTCCTTCCTCTCCTTAGTCATAATGGGTTATTTTAGGATCAGCTGTTGGCCACTGATACAAAGCCCAGTGCACAGGATTTTTCCAAGGGATCTGTGAGGGAATGAAGGTAAAGAAACATTTGTTCTCTTCCCACCCATGGCAACGTCAAAGGTGGTTCTCAGGGCTAAGGTCAACCTCTGTACTGCTGTGTGAAGCAGTGAGGTGCATTCCATTACACATCTACTCAGGCCTGCATGCAGTCCTCTTTCCCTGCATACCTGGTGACCCCTTCCCATTCTCCCTGTTTTCTCTAGCCAGTAATGACCAGGCAAGAGGAGGAGACACAGACAGTCTTCCTTCTTATAGCTGCTTGGGCAGCTCATCATCTCATGCTACTTTTGAAGTCACCTGAAGCTTTTGTGGGGCTTTAGTGAAAATGAGAGTGGATGGCAGCATGGCTTCCAAGAGACTACAAGCTCCATTTTTCAGTCCTTGAAGAAATCATGCTGTTCTGTAGGAAGGATGGTGATATGCTTCCCATCTTGAGTATTTTAGCCCATGACATTTAAATTGCCTTTTCTTATCCCATCCCACTCCTGAGAGGTACGTGGCAGCTACAGAGGTTCCTGCAGTCTTTCTTTCCCTCCATGGTGTCCTAAGTGTGATTTCTCTTCTTCAGCCTTCTAAAAATGACTGCCAGTTCCCCTCTCCCTCCCCCTTGTATTTTTAATTGGTCTTCTGTATCATACTCATTTGTAAGCAGGCATCTTCAACCTTCATTTGTATGGTTATTTTCCTGTGTAACATTAGTCACAGAGACAAGATATTTCACATCCAGACAGATATTTCACTGGTCTGTGGATGATCAGCATTCACTATTCATATTCTGGTTTTCTTTTTCTCAAGAAGCCTTTCCTTGTCTGGCCTGAAATTCACTGAAATAGCCAAATCTCTAAGCCCCTGCAGGTCCTTGTCTATCAGAGCCTCAGCAGGGCAGCAAGCATTTCATTTTCTGCCTCCCACTGAGCATAATTTCTCCTCTGAAATAAAGTTCAGCGTGGGGTTGAGGTTCTTTTTTTTCCCTCAGAAAAATCTTTGGTATGTTTTTCGTGACATCTCTTCCCCCGACTACATTTATCATTATCATTAGAGAGAGCTCTGAGACATGTTTTGATGGCACTTGAAACCAGTGGGAGAGGAAAAATAACATCTCTGGTGCAAAATTCAAGTCTGTTTACTTCATAATCAAACTCAAGGTGGTGTGTTAAGAAATGCTTAACTGGAAACCACTGAATTTGTGGAAATTTTCACAGCTCCTCTCATATGTCTGCAAACACTCTGGATTGTCTCCCTCTCTAAGCAGTGTCCCTCCCAACATGGCTCACAGGTCCCAGTATGTAAGACCAGTTTTATTTACTCCACCTGGGAGGAAAGTCATGATCCGTGGCTCTGAACTAAAGTACAGCAGATCTTTGAGCCTTTGCTTCCGTATGAACATGGGGCTAACTCCTCAGCTGGTAAAAGACCATACCTTGCTGCATGCAGATGGGCAGCTATGCAGATTGTGATGCCAGCTGTGACTCTAACTCAGTTCTAGGGCTGTTCATTAATGTTTACTGCTCATAAAATAGGCAAAGATTACAAGTAAGAACCGTTTAGAACACGAAAACTTCCTTCAAGGAACGTTCTCTCATGACCTCCACTTGCCTTTGTTTTCCTCCTCTTCCCGTTTGTCTCTCCTTAAATAAAGGGAAATGTTACCATTTTTCTTCTTGTTTTTCTGGAGAGGAAACTGGCTTTCTTACCTGTCTAACCGTAACTGGCAGGCTGTTCGCAATATGTCAACTATGCCCTCGTTCTTCAGCTGTTTACAGCACACACTAGTTGCAATAAAGCAGCCAGTCCTCCCGATGCCTGCACTGAGGAAGGGAAAAGCAAAGAGAGGCGGTGGAGATGTCAGAATGGCTCTGGAACTTCCTTGTTAAACAAGTGCCATTAAACCAGCACAAACCCCGTTATCCTTTTTGTCCCTCCAACCTGCCATTTGCCAGGTGAGTGCTTCCAGATAGAAAGCCCTAACTAGGAAAAGATGCTAACTTCAGTGGGATAACACAATTAAGTGTGAGCCACTCATAGCAAAAGGGTGAACACTGCACATACAGTGCTAAAAGTGGACTTACTAGTTACCACTTGACCCAATATGTTGTTAAACCTGCCAGTGAACCATTGAAAAAAAGCAGTTAAACTGTATTTCTTAGATAGATTTGGTTTGATGGCAACCCTTCCTTTGAAGGCAAACTTTGCTTGATATTCTTAATTCTAACAGCTCCTTTGAAAGTTATTTTCATTCACAGGTGCATCAAAAAACCTAACCCTTGGTTAGGTTTAACCCTTTTAACCCTTGGTTAAATTATTAGAGCTAGCAGCAGTATAGTAAGTGTGATGTCATTTGCTGATCAGATTTACAATGTAGTAATTATCTGAATTAGAGCAGGATACAAGAAATTCACTAATAAAGAAACGTGTTTGTCTTTCCTGAAATCCTTTGCATCTGATTCAGTCCTTGGTTAATGACCAGAACTGAATTTATTCTCAAAGCCACAGTGCTATAGAAGCTGTGAATTCTTCTTATCACCTAACAATCTAGCAGCAAATGCTGGAAGCTCTTCTTATGCGTGAAATAATTAAGTGAGCACACTCAGGAATAATTACTTGACACAACCACAAGCAATCCTGCTTTCATTTACATTGTGAGAAAGTCAATGCAAAACCACTGGCAACTGGTTGACTGCTGCTCACAAAGTCCTTCACCTTCTAGTTGCCCATAACCAAACAGGCCACAGCACAGAGCTCTTGACACTGTTTACTGTCCCTAGATTCCAGAGTGTTTTGCAAAGGGAGGGAACAACATGCATTTTTAGATAAAGTAAACACCATTGAGACAGCTCTTGTCCCAGGGGAAGTTGCAGGTCTCTCAGTGGCCGAGACAAGGTCATAATTCCTCCAAGACTGCATAAGAGTGGCACATTATCCACATAAAATATTTTTTTAATATAATCCTTTCACCGTGTCTCTTAGCAGATTTTTTCAATTAAAAGTGCCCCATTTCTCCCCAGATTATTACTTTGTCTTGAGGATGAACCTTACTAGAGGACAAAACAAATATGCATAGAAAGAGTGACATAGTGACCAGCAGCTCCACCTGTAGCCAATACCATAATGCTTCAAGGAGCTCTTAGAGAGTCAAAAATTTCCAAGGGCAAAGGGGACCTTCTTAAAAAACATTTCTTATTTTTTATCTGAACTCTCCCCAATTTCTTATCATCTGTTTAAAAACACAGGCAGAAAAACTGTACATGTGATATCATACAAACTTTTTACTAGTGTTTACTCCATATTAGCTTATAGATGGATCTTTGATGACACCGAACTAACCAATCATTCATTCCAAGAGGCTCTTTAAAAATACTCTCATTCTATAATACCCACTTACTATGGATGTTGGAGAGCAAACATCTGCTGTTTCCTAGAAAATGTTACGCAAAATGAAGTAAAATTCCTTACAAAAATCTATTTGGCAAAATGTATCTTGTTGAAATTATGGAAGATTACCCTGGCAAGATAACTGCATCTCTTATCAGTCTTTCTGCTATTTACCTGGAATAACTGCTTTGACAACTGACTTGCAGTTTTCGAGTAATCATATTTAACCTTTCTAAGCACTGGCAAAACAGGAATAGCTTTTAGACCTCTGGAACTTCTCCAATTTTCCAAGAACTGTAATTCAGCTCTACTAAACTTTAATGGTTTAGAGTCTGTGAACCAACTTTTTTAAACACCCTTGGATGAAAATCATTCAGCATATCTGATTTAATAATGGTCAGTAGTCGTTGCTTAACACGCTCCTTAGCTAGCAGTGCAAAAGGACATACTTCATCACATCTACAAGTGCTAAGTACATCTTCCTACTTCCTTCTGAAGACAGAAGTATCTATCTTCATCTATTTTTATTCTGCTCTGATTGATAATTATAATTTTCTCACCAGACTTCAAACCACTGTAAGGATTTTGTTCCTTCCATACAAGAAGTTTTCATCATTCCCAAGGCTTTTTACAGATACTTCAGTTTTACTATCAGTTGCATAAATTTCCTGACTGTTGGTTAGTACTTGCTGCAATCAGCTTTGTCACTGTTTCATTTATGTGCTATACTTAAATTATTGTCTTTGGCCTAATAATGATTTATTTAAAAAAAAAAAAAAAAAAGCAAAGGAGGAATCTATAAAACATGGGGGTTTGAGGCTTAAAGTTTAATATTCTTATTTTTCTGCTTGTAAGTGTCTTCTTACTCAATTTCATCAAAAGCTTGTTAATGTTTGCTACCTTGACCATTTAAAGATAATTAAAGGCATATATTACTGGTAAGGCAAATGAAATGAAAGCGTTCTTACAAGTAACTGAGCCTCCACCAGGTTTTGTGTTCATCTCAGTCTGTATCTGAATGCAACACTGGGTAACAGACAACTATTGTCATTAAATATTTGAAGTTCCGAGCATATTTCAGAAGCAGTTGGACAAGATCTCCCATGTCTGACTGATGGCCTAAATGACAGTATCTACACTACGCCATGCAAAGAAGCCTTAGAATTCAGAATTTATTTACCTGCAGTGAACAATCACTGGGGCATTCTTCTCCTCTGCACTCTGCATGGCCTCTTCCACTTCCAGCACTAGCTGTAACAGAGGAGGGGCTTGATCTGGTGTCTTCTGGTCTGGCCAAGACGTGTACCAGTAATGTTTCAGGTTTCTGACTTCTTCTCCTTTCTGCAATCCAGTTAAGACAAACACCACAAAGTTTTAAAAGAACTTCTCATGGTAAACTGATACTGAAACGTGGCCTTCCCTTTAAGAGTGAGATGATTGACTCAATCTGCTGGAAAGACAATACAGCTGGACACAAACAATCCAGGAGATTGCTGCAGAGCACTGATGATATTTTTTTGACACAGGTGGTGGAAGAGTCACAGAGGAAAGGTGTGCTGCTGGACCTTGTATTAACAAAGAGGGACTGGTTGAGCACATGAAGGTTGGGGGCAGCCTTGGCTGCAGTGATCAAGATATGGTGGAATTCAGGATCCTGCTTGGAATAAGCAAGGTCAGTAAGTAGGATTACAAGCCTGAATTTTAGGAGAGCTAACTTTGGTTTCTTCACGAAATTAACTGAATTAGGGTTAGGGCCCTAGAAGATGGGGGGGCCAAGACAGCTGGTCCAAGCATCACTTCCTCAAAGCTCAAGATTGGTGCATCCTACTGGGTAAGAAATCAAGCCAAAGGGGTGTCACCCCAGTCTTCAAAAAGGGCAAAGATGACCCAGGGAGCTACAGGCCAGTCAGTCTCAGCTCCATCCCTGGAAAGATGATTGAACAGTTCACCCTGGATGTCACCTCTAAACATGTGGAGGAAAACAAGGTTATCTGGAATATTCAACATGGATTTACTGAGGGGTAATCACGTTTGACCAATCTGACAGCCTTCTGTGATGGTGCAGCTGTCTGGGTAGATGAGGGGACAGCAGTGGACATGTGAGGGGACAGTGACTTTTGACACTGTCTCCCATAACATTGCCATAGGTAAGCTCAGGAAGCATGGGCTGGATGAGTTGACACTGAGGTGGATTGAGAATTGACTGAACAGAAGAGCTCAGAGGCTTGTGAACAGCGTTGAAGAGTCAGCTGGCAGGCCTGTAGCTAGCAGTGTTCCCCAGAGGTCAGTACTGGGTTCAGTACTGTTTAATTTACTCACCAATAACCTGGATCAAAGGACAGAGTGTACCATCAGCACGTTTGCTGATGATACAAAACTGAGAGGAGTGGCTGATACACCACAAGGCTGTGCTGCCCTTCTGTGATACCTGGACAGGCTGGAGACTTGGGCAGAGAGGAACTTGATGAACAACATAGGCAAGTAGAGGATCCTTCACCTGGGGAGGAATAACCCCAGGCACCAGCACAGGCTGGGAAGCAACTCTGTGGAGAAGGACCTGGGAGTCCTAGTGGACAACAATCTGTCCATGAGCCAGCAGTGTGCCCTTGGGGCCAAGAAGGCCAAGGGTATCCTGAGATGGACTAGGAAGAGCACTGACAGCAAGATGTGGGGTTGACCCTGCCCCTCCATTCAGCCCCAGTGAAGCCTCACCTGGAGTGCTGTGTCCAGTTCTGGGCTCCCCAGTTCAAGGCAGACAAGGCACTACTGCAGAGGGTCCAGTGGAAGGCCACAAAGATGATTGGGGCACTGGAGCACCCCACTGATAGGGAAAGGCTGAGGGAGCTGGGCCTGTTTAGCCTGGAGAAGAAATGACTGAGAGAGGACCTTACTGATGTCTATAAGTATCTGAAGGGAGGGTGTCAAAAGGGTGGAGCCAGACTCTTCAGTAGTGCCCAGCAACAGGATAAGGACAGGCACAAACTGAAACACAGGAAGTTCCATCTGATCACGAGGAAAACCTTTTTTACTTTGAGGGTGACAGAGCACTGGAACAAGCTCCACAACAGAGAGGTTGTGGAGTCTCCTTCTCTGGAGATATCCAGAACTCACCTGGATGCAATCCCATGCAGCCTACCTTAGGTGAACATGCTTTAGCAGAAGGCTTGAACCAGGTGATCTCTCGGGGTCCCTTCAAACACCAACCATTATGTGAATGCTAAATGGAGAGATCCATATTGGATGCCACACAACATAGAAATCTGGACTTCAAATATCATGTCTGCACTTCAGTAAACTGCCATTAAAAAAAAAAAAAAATTCCTCCTCCCTAAAGTATTCTGCTCTTTTAGTGCCAAGAGCTGTGTGCAAAACACTCCAGGCAGTCTGTTCCCTCTTGACAGATTCATTCAGCAAAGCCAGAGCTGTGCTTGTGACATAATTGCTTTCATAATGTATTTGACAGACAGAGAGCCAGGAGCCATATCTCTGTCTCTGATAGCTAGATAAATAGATGAGGGAGAGAGATGGGAGCTTATTTTTCTATCTCTTCTGACAGACAGACTTACATCAGTTTCCTGTCAATTCTACTCTTCTCTTCAGACATGGTGACAACTTCAGAGACCCTGTGGAAGGTTGGAATAGTCTCTAGCTGCAGTCCATGGCTTTTTGAGAGACACAAATTCCGAGTCTCTGTCTCAGAATGGCTATGAAATAGCAAATATGCCATTTCCTTTTCCAAGTGCCAAGTAGCACAGTGCGTTTCTGATTTTGTGTGTTCAAAGTGATATCCTTCTGTCTGATTTCTGCAGGTGCAAAATAGTAACATGGTGCTCAGGGAACTGGCCTTAGCCTACAGCCATTATGCAAGCCAGCTGGCATGGGGCTAAGAAAATGTTTTCAAAAGGTCCAGGAACGGAAATGTTATCTTCCACAACCCTCCCTTCAACACAAGGCTGAGTTGAAGAGGGGAGAAAAAATAATAAAAAAAGACAAATTTGGCCCTTCTAAAGAACAAGGCACAAAAATCTGAAAATAGTTTCTGTCATCTATATTCCCAAGTCCCTCCCTATGACTGTCAGTGACTGAATGTTAAGAGCGCTCTGTGATCGTGCCATTTTCCATCCTTCTCTTTGGTTGAGAGAGCTTTTGCACAGCTTCACAGTGAATTAGACTGGGAAAGTGATCAAGCTAAATCTTTTTACTTTCTTGAGATGAATTAATTTTCCAATAGATTTACTGGTTTCCCCCTTTGGCTTACCACACAGTCACATAAATGCTTGTGAGGGGACATGGGAGATGGTACAAAGGGTAGGAACAAGACAGCTGAGTAACAGGAGGCTTGGCTTCATTGAGGTGCTGTTCCATCTCACACTAGGTTTAAAATGTTCATTGAAGAACAGCCATAGGAACCTTAAAGCTATGTCTAACTCAATTTAGGAAAAGAGAATCTTACTATTGCAGCACAGAGCCTGGCCTTAGGTTATTTATCCTAATAAGAAAATACTTCGTTTAAGAGAGCATAACCAGTTGTCACAAATAGTACTCGAGCTCACTTCAGTAAGTATAATCAACACTCCTCTGAAACAGGAACATACACAGTTGCATTTGAATGTGACTGTGTGTGAGCCACAGAAGTTATGATCACCTGATTCTTAGCTCAGTTGTCAAAAATTATAATAAAAATGTTGTCAATAACACAGACAAAAAAGTAAAAGATGACAGTCATCTGAAGAAAAACATGAATCACTACATGAAGTCACTTAGCTGACAGAACACAAAACAGCTGATGTTCTAATCATGAATTCTGGATGTCTTCAGTTTTGTCTACAGTGATAAAAGTTTTATGCTTCTGCTTAGAGAACCCTGACTTGTGTGGTTCTGTACACTTCTGCTCTAACTTTAACAAAATATTCTCTGTGGTGGCTCCCTGAGACTGAGACAACTTGGGAACACTTAGGAGGAAGCAAAATTTAAGTGATGGTTTGAAGTCTACCATCACGTATGCTGTAGCTGAGGTCATGAATCAGTGACTAGACACTGGCAGGTTTCTCTGAGAAAGGAAAACAAGCCTTGCCTATTGCCTGAGTTTTTTCTGAATTCCTGAAGCTTGTCAAATCCTGTCCCCTGTACTGAGAGAAGTATTACAGTCCACTCTGTAATACAAACACACAGTAATCATATATTGCTGGTAGTGGTATCAGATATTTCTGACCACTCCTATTCAAGGGAAAACAGAAGTCTATTCATGGCTTCTCCAGCGTTCACTACCAAGTCACTTAACGTACACATAGTTTGGAGCTCCTACTCCACTACTGCTATTAAGTGATAAATGTACAGCTCTAGGCAACGGTAACTTAACAAATGGAATCTTTATTTCAGCTTTAGAATTCAACAGTTCACATCCTGACGTTTGGGGTGGGAAGAAAGAGACATTACCACACTAGTACTGAAAACAAAAACATTGTTTAACTCGGATGAAGCTGCAACTCTGCAGCGTGTCACTTCCCACTTGTCAGGGAGTGTGATTTTCTCCTTGCTGCCTTAGCCAAAAGCGTGAGTGACAGACTTTAAACACTCTGAACGTCCCAGACATGGGATATCATATGCTGGCTTTCTGCCTATTAGCATATGGCTGAAGAGACTTGAAACTGGTTGGATAAAAGGAGAGTTTTTCCAGCTGGGAAAGAAATGGTGGTGTTATACTGAGGTCAGGGATAGATCTGGTAGATGAAAGATGTATGAAGTTTATGTAAATAGACTGTTCTTATTAAAACATGTAGCTTGATATTCTAGAACCTAGCAATGAAAATAGTTGTAAAATAGGACTCTGGTACTTTAGACCAAGTAGCATCTAAGTACTTAGAAAATCAAACCTATGTTTAAGTTTTCTATCCAGAAGATGACAGAATGGTTACTGGTATATAAAACTACATATACAGTTGGTTTGAAAGATAGTAATATTTAGAAATATTTAGAAATAAAAGAAAATATTTTTAAGAGTCATCAACAGTTTTGGTGTCTTGGAGCAGAATGACCCCTTAAAGTATCTTTGAAGTCAAGTCAGACAAATTACTCAAAGAATAAATTAACATGGTACCTACTGAAAGGGCTTTAGCCTTGAGGAACAGAAGTAATGTTACTATACTAATGACAAGTGCAAAACAGACCAGTGGTCCCAGTGCTGAGAGAAACTGAAAATAGGTAAGCAAAATTAAAACACCTTTTGCTCAGTTCTCAACTCCCCCACTTCTTGCTAGTAGCGCAAATCATCCTACATATAAACAGCTCAGTCTAACAGCATCCTAATAAAGACCATAAAAGGACAAGAGTATTTCTTAGGGGTCTACCCATACATACTACAAATTATCTAAGACGCCATGTATGTCAAAAATTCTCTGTTATTAGTAATCAGTAGCCCTTTGCCCAAGTCTGTGGACCAATGAGCAAACAAGCCTTTGAATTCTACAGAACATCATCACAGAGTTTAGCATATTACTCCACAAGTGCTATCTACGGTATGACTTGCAAAGGCTAGTAAGAAGCTCTCTGTGAACTACCATGTCATTCTAAACAAGCAGTGAACTCAGAGGACACAGGCACAGAATGAGTCACTGGTTTCTTACCAAGTGAACACCATCCTACTACAACTGAGCTGGTAGCTTTCAGACTGTACACATGCAGCCTAAATCTCTGCTTATTTTACTGTAGTCTTCACATCAACGAAATGAGCACAGCTACAATGACTTCAGTAATGAAAAGTGGTATTTGGACAGTGGTACACCGTGCAGAAGATTTTTACATAACTCTCTACAGACATCTCAATTTATAGGTTTAGACTTCTAAACTACTGTAAGTACATTGGAGTGATTTACCTTCAGGGTGATGAGCCTTAAACGGTAATCGTCTGCTTGTATGACTCTGTTAACTGTGATTTCTATTCCTTCATAGGTGACCTGTTCCTCTGGCCAATATTCTGTGCATTTCTGTGTGCAACACAAAATAAATCTAGTTAAGCAGATATCAAGGGAGGTTCATTTTTGCTCCTCTGAAACTGAATACAGCACATGCATAGATGAATATGAATACACTTTGTTCCTATAACAAGTTTTCACTTTCTAAACAGAGACCACATTTCAGCTGATTTTTGCTGCACTCATAATAGCCTGATTGCTTGATTAAAAATGCACAAATCAAGTAATTACTAACTAATGCTTTAAAATACACACATCCTTATTTATCTTTGTGCAGCTGATGTGCATTTTAAAGGTTCATTTGAGAGACCAGTGGCAAAGTGCTTGTGTTTTTAGATTAATCCCTTTCTTAAGATAATAATGATTAGTATAATACACACTAGTTACCAATATGGAAACACAAAATACAGCTTTCCTATTTTTTTATAAAGACTCATTGCTCTCTGAATATAAAATGATCATTTGCATAAGTTTTTGTATAAAATAACATGACTAGGGATGTTTTGGGAAATAGATTACGTATCAAAATCCACTTAAAATTGTCAGTGAGAATCTTTCAAAGCTAAGGAACTAAAAGGAAGCAATAGCAGTGAGAGACATTAGACTGCTACATTTGATTTTGCCCAAAACCAGTCAGAGATGCAGTGAGCACAATCTGACAACGAGAGACTCAGAAACTATAGTCCAGTTGCAAATCTATTTTGTGGTACCAATACACTAAAGACAAAAAAAAATTTTGTAAGCACTCCCATCCTGCACGGAGGACTAAAAAAGACTGTTTTTTCGTAGGCAGCTTCCTAGAACTGATCAATATGCAAAGGCAGAGACAGGCATTTCAAGATGGTGCACAAATTAGTTCATGGACAAGGAATGACATGAACAAGGCAGAATCTGAGAAACAGGTTCCCTTATGATAATGCAAGAGGCAATCTTGTTATCACAGGGGAGTAGGTATCTGCTACTGGTAAAGATGATGCCTGTAAGTTTCCTCTCTCAAACAGCTGCACACAATCTTGAAGGAAGCAAGTTGAATCATTTTGCTCTCCCCCACCAAAAATAATTCTGCTTCAGGAGAAATACTAACAACAGAAAAGTACCTTGCAAAGTTATTGAGTAAAAATTTTTGTGTGGGAGAATCAGTGTTGTTCCATCTGCACGGTGCCTCAGTTAATAACCCACTGGGAGTGTGGCCCACTGTGTCTCTGCAAAGTTATTTACGCAGATTGTGGTTTTTCTCATAAACTGCAGAATCCACTGTAAAAACTGTCAAGAGCTCTAGCAGCTATCAATAGCACAGACATTGCTCTGCTTAAAGGAGTGGAGTAAGATGGCCCACTCATTTCTGTGGGCTGTCTGTCAGTTCAGATTAGAAATGACAGAGGGCTGAGGTACAGAGCTTTTAATACTCACATCAGTGAAGTCATTGCGCTGAGGAGGAACACAAAGCCCCTCTTACAAGCATCACTGCTGAACAAAGGTTTTGGTTTTGAATCTAGGTACTTCTGACTCCTGTTATTCATATTTTAATATATGTGTTACGGAAAAAAGAAATTAATATAGAAGTCATTTACATGAAAAGACCCTGTATTTATGGCTGAGATTCCTGACACCATTTAATTTTTGACACAAAAGGTATCAGAAAAGACTCAGCAGCTCTGTTGTGATATATAGGCTGTAGCAAGCTCCAGTTATGTAGTGCATCAGTACTGCAGTGCACTGCTTCCCAAGACTGATATGAGGGGTAAAATACTTGGCCAGTACATTTAAGAGGCAGTTCAGACATAAAGTCATTTTGCATTCGTGGTATACAATCTTGCCATGAAAACTCTAGTGGGACAACTTATCACCAGGTAGGTCATTCGGGACCAGTATTTCCTCTACATCTTCTCCTTTAAACCTTGAAGTCCTCAAAAGATTCTAGTACACTATGTCATGACATTTTAACATCTTATGCACCAGAAACTGGCAACTTAGATCAACGAGCAAGCTGTTACTTCAATGCTGCTGCTCAGACACATGCATATGCAAATTTAAAGATGTTAGTGAAAACAAAACTTTTAGATCAGCAGCATACTACATTTTGCATCAGCAATGCCTTGACAGTACGTGTTCAATCAGCCAGCTGTAATAACTGAACATTTTTCACTTGCAAAGCATGATAATTCTGTGTCAGTCTTGCTCACTTTTTTTTTTTTTCAGTGAAGTTCAAGGTTAAATTTATTTACTTTATAACTGTGAAAAGCTAAAGGTTAGTGCACGTGCCTGGTTATGGGTACTAAGCTTCCAGCTAGCAGGTAAGCCATTGTAACTCTGTGTGTATGCTGGATGTATTCCCATATTCTTGGGCTTCTAAATGTCTGAAGCCTCTTCTCCAAAGGAAACTCCCTCACCTAAATCGCAATGGGTCCTCAAGGACAAGCTTGACACATACTGCTGCTACAACATTTGGATATCTCCACTATGCATTGCTGCTGGGGTGAGGGAGGATGCAGAGCACAACACGTGCCCAGACCACTTTGTCACATCTTACACTGCCAATAAAGGCAGATGTAAGCTCAGCTACATGTCTGTGAGCTGAAGCCCAGGCACACAGTTCTTGCAACTATGCTATTTCAGCAGGTAAGTAATGAACAGCTGGTGGGCAGTAGTATTTTTAACTGGGAAAAAAAAAATTGCTTTAGGTGGATTAGCAGAAACACAATGCCAATTTAATTTCTGGAAGTAGGTGGCAAATAGACAATTTCAGCATTTCAGTATTTTAAAAGCATTTCCTAGATGCATAAAAGGTCCTCCACATCCAACTCAGTTCTAGGTGTTGATTGTCATAACTAGCATTTTTTCAGAAATCAGGTACAGTATCAATGAAATGTGCAAATAGACACCGAGTCATAATAAATGCAAGATAAAGCAGCAACAACTCTACTGATTAAAGATATTCAAGCTTAATAGTTATGGGCTACTACTGTTTTTGATTCCCTTAGAGAGAACTTCAAAGACTGCCTGCAAATAGAGCTGGGTTAGGAGAGGTTTCAGGTCAGCTGAGAGACCAAAATGGCAAAACCAGCAGTAGGCTGAGTCAGACAGCCAAACAGGACTTACAGTAAATGGAACTGAAAGAGAAGCCCACATCTTTTTTGAGCCTGAAGAATTTAATGCTGGTTCTGACTGCACAGGCCATTGAACTAACTTCTATTTGCTGGTTTAGTGTCTGTGCTGAAAATATCTACTAGAGTACAGTTAAAAATCAGACCAAATATAACACCATTACCTCATTCATCTCTTCTATATTGGTAATCATGACAATGATGGGAGAACGCTCCTGCCACACCATTCTCCAGAAGTCAGTGACAGTATTAACTATCGGTCCCTGAGTAGCAATATATACCTTTTCCTCTCCTCCATAGCCCTGCCAACAAAACAACAAGAGATCAGTTTTAACAGGGATGTCCACCACAACCTTGAAGGTTCGGTCTTTAAAACAGAGAGCTATATTGGTTGAAATGGTGACTTCGTGGCATCAGTTCTCCTCTCCATCTCTCTCCTGAACACGTGTACATGGAGTGAAGGCACGGTATGGACTCACGTAATTCCAGTAAAGAGTATCCAACAGCCTTGAGGTGACTCTGGCTAGGTCAAAGCCTTATTCAGGCTGATTATCCAGTGCCTTGGTTAGGCCATCTGACAAGGAATTTGCATCAAGAACTGCAGAAGTATGTTTCTGTCTGGTCTGAATCTGTACAGGTGCACTTTGAGATTTGGTTTTCAGCTAATGTAAGCAGGAGAGAAGAGCAATCAGATCAGCTAGGATGCCTTTAAAAGCCAGTGAACGTTGCAATTGTGTTTACATTAACAGTGGCTAATAGAGGCTAGGCAGACACACCGGACTACTGAGCTCTTACCCTGATGTAGTTAGCATTGATGTAAGAGCTGAGGGGATCGTCCTGATCAGCTGAGGTAAGGCACACTCTGCTGTGAGGATCTGAAAGGTGTAAAGAGATAAGTAATAATTTATCAGTTCCTCAGAGGAAAGAGACACACAAGATTATTTTGTACAGCGAGAAATTTACACGCACTCATGGCCATCACAACAGATGTCAGTGGCCTTGGAAAATTCCCATATTAAAATGTTACCATAAAGAAAAGGAAAGGATGGTCGGGGTAATTTGCCTTCTTCTGATAGTTTCCCCCACTCTCTGAAGCCTGCTTAATTGGTCCTGTTGCAGAGTCAGTGTCTGAGTGTGACCCTGGAAAAGCATTCTTCTGCTCCAGGAAATTATTTCTCAATATGTTAGGTCAACAGACTCATTCTGGCTTGAAAGACATCTAGAATATTGTTTGTGAAATGACAGCAAACAGCTTTTCTCCCAAACCATAAGCACGCATTTCTTGCGCCCAGGCAAGCCAGATGACAATAACTCTTTCCCTGTTTCATCTTGCAATGAACCAAACTCCAAGATGTGCTATTAACAAATATAACGGTTAAAGAGAAATTAAAGAATATTTGTCTCTTGTACTCTAAATCTCTCCAGTACTTGAGTCTCCTTCATTGAGGCTGTTTATGAAGCATTATTTTTGTTCTAATAAGATGACAAAAAGAAAACATTATTTCACTTGAGAAGCTCTGTCCAATTCCCACTGAAGTGAATGGCTGTTCCAGTGATTTCAATGCAAACTGACACAAGCCCACGTTCATTCTCTTTCACCAATGCTACACAGCGTGTTACAATTGACAAGAAACAGCCTACTGCTGACAGAGGCCTCAGCAAAGAGCAACAGTGTATATCACCAGGATAATATTAAAACCAAACCACAGATGACTTTTCATAAAAAAATTCAGCCTGCTTAGAAACCATATCAAAAAATATGCAAAAATTGTGCTTTACTCAGTATCATATTAAGGACTAAGCACACAGTAATTTCTACAGTACTACAAACACAGACTCAGCATGAAACACTGTCCTCAGAGGGACCAGATCTGTGCTTATTGGGATCCTTGGGTTTGAAGCATAAAGCAAATGTTTAGCTCTCCTTGACAGCACCAAGCCATTCGAAATGGAGGTAGTGGGATAAGAGCAAACACTCCACCCTTTTTCTTCCTCAGCAATATCAAGCCATCCTTTGGTCCCAGCCAGGTTGCACAGAGGTTACCAGTTTTTGAATTCATTCAAAAAAATACTCAGAGATCATAATGATCCTGGAATAAAGTTGTTCAACTTTAGAGAGATGGTAGGGTACAAACCAGTTAGCTGAAACAGAGAGGTCAAAGTGACAACACTGGCTGCTGGCAGATATCCATGAGGCTGAGATGAAGCTTGCAGCAAATAATTAGCCCACTGAGATCACTCTTAATAAAATGTGGTAGTGGGTCATACTTAGTCATCTGATTACAACTCTGGAATGGGGTTTTCAAAATGGCAGCAATTCTGATGCTTCAGTTTAAACATCCAGTATGACACATTTAAAATAGATCCTGTTCTCAAAGTACCCATTAGATACCAAATTCAGAATACAGAGAGCGCTTAGAAATCTGGAACTTGGGACATCTGAAATCATCAGCCACTTTTGCAATCTTCCCTTTCCAGCCAAAACAGTGAATTAATACTTGAAAAATTCACCTCAGTCATTAGCACAGCAATAGTGAAAGGTGGTTGAATGTTTTTATGCTTCTTGTCTAAGGTATGAGTAAAGGCATCAGAAGGGTTGCACACACTGAGCTGCAGCTGCTGGAGTTTCAAAACAGATTAAAAAAATCTCTTTTGAAACCATTTCCAATCCAGGTTCATTGACTGAAATGTTAGGTATTTTTGACTTCTCTGCACTTATCTTTGCTAACCTGGCATTGAACCTTTTGGACTTTGCAAATAGAGTTACCATGGCTACTGGTGGCATCTTCCAGCAATGACTTAGAGCAAAAATAGAGGCATGACATCCAATCGTTTAACTTTTCAAAATAACTTTAAGTATGAGAGAGGGAAATGATGACACTTGTAGAACTTTGTATCAAAATGCTTCTCAAAATTCCTATTCCTAGCTACAAATAAACTTAGTATAATAGAAAAGAAAAATATTTTTATTTTCTGTGTCATCTTAATACCACCAGGCCAGTTCCCTATATTCTCAGTCTGTATTTGAGGCACGATTCTGAGAAAACATGGGTGAGCAAAATAACATTGCTAGAGTTTAGTCCTTCTAAAGGAGTTGAGTCAAGGAAACCACTAAGTAACATCTAATGGAACACCGAGATCTTGGATAGAATTTTTAAGCAGCACCAAATGATTCAATTCTAATAACTTAAAAGCCAAAGATTCATGCAAAATCAGCAGCAATTAGATTCTTCATGCTCTGTACCTCTTTGGAAATTTGATTTATACTTTGAAGCCATGTTGCTGCTTCATTAACATGACCTTTGGATGATATATTGTGGTGACAGTATGCTTCATGCAAAGCCCTCCAGCATGTGGAATAAACCACCCTACATGAGTGACTTAAAAGCACGAACTTACTCGGGAGAATTGTTTTGTAGCGATTCTTACGCACTAAGCCTGGAATATCATATTCCTTTGGGTCAACAAAGTTCATTGGAATTTCCTGTTAAAAAAAAAAAACAAAACACACAAAACCAAAAAACAAACAACAAAAATCACAAAAACATAAAAGACAGTATGTGGTATTATTAGACTCACAGGAGGAATAAAAACCCCAAGCCCATTATGTCCTCACTGTGAGGGAGGCAAATTGATGGAGTTAACTGAGACACATGGTACAGTACTTCTAACAATTTACCACCAAACTGTGATTGATGTTTCCTTTTACTGTCACTGGCTTTTTTTTCTGAAATCCTTAATACAAAAACGCTCACAGTGACTAATTCATTGAGTAACACGCGCCCCAGCATTATGTTCACTCCTAATATTATTAGAACTGCATTGCAAATGTAGGCACAGAACTAAGCAAAAGGTGGTACTCAAGACGCTGCTCCAAGAGCAATGGACCTCAGACACCATCCTTTCTGACTCACACCACTTCCTCTCAGAGGGTGGAAGTTATTCATTTGCTAGGGAGTCACACCAGCAACAAAGTATGACACACGTTACGGCGTGTTGGCGTACTGACCTCACTCTGTGGAGCTGGGGTTTTGCTCATCATGCTGTCAAGCTCCATGGAGAAGGACAGCAAATGGGTATCAGAGACTATCTGCTCTCTACACTGCTGGTGCAAAGAACACACAAAGGTGGAGGGGCTTTGTATTATCCACTGCGCATCTGCAATAAGCAACGCCAGGCAGGAACAAATGGGAACCTTCCACCAACTGTAGTCAGTAGGCATGGGATGGGAAGGGAAGCATTAACCAGACTCAGCAGAGATGTGGCTCATGGGAACTTGGAAGCAGAGTTGGCCCTCCCAGCTGCTGCACAGAGACACCACTATCGGGCATAGCCATAACAGGAATCAGGGTTGAGTAAGACAAGCCTCACTCTGGGGAAAAATTAAGATGAGCAAAAAATTAAGATTGGAAATGACCTCTAAGATCATCGAGTCCAACTGTTCACCTAGTACCTCCATGTTATGTTCCCTGCTAAGCCATGCCTTTAAGCAACACATCCTCATGTTTTTGAACACTTTCAGGGATGGTGATTCTACTGCTTCCTTAGGCAGCCTGTTCCAGTGCCTGAGCACCCTTTCAGTGAGTAATTTTTTTCTAATATCCAATCTAAGACTGCCACAGTGCAGCTTGAGGTCAGTTCTGGAACTTTAGAAGATTATCTGTTCTCTGTCTCTCACACAGTACTGAGAATACTGTTTGGTTTAACTAGAGGCAATGAATGATAAAAACATTTTGTTGAAGTACTTTTGTATCAATTTGGAGAACTGCATGGGAACAAAACCTTCATATTTTCTCAATTGTTACTTGGTGTTTAGTCACCCCAAACTCTTCCTGAGCCAAGCTCCATGATCTCTTTTTTGTGTCTTAAGTCATTCACTGCTCAAGCCAAATCTTGGTTAAATCAACAGGACTTCTGCCTGAGTAAAAATTCTAAATCTTGTAAGAATTTCAGGATTTAGCCCTGCAAATGTCCCCTCTGACTTTTCTTCCAAAATGAAACAGAGCTGCTTGCTTCATTATGCATCTGGACTTTGAAAACCAAGCAGGTTAGACAGACTGAAAATACACATATGCAGAGATGGCTGGTGATAAATATTTCATAAAAAAATGACTAGTTCACATTTTTGAATTACAGAAATGATTACACAGCATTTTGATTACACAGCATTTTTATCTGTGCTTTTCAGTTTTCATTAAAGAATGAAAATAGCTTTGGATAGTTTGGCTGTTGAATGATTCTATGAACACCAGGAAAAAGCTAATTCCAAATCTCTTAGACAAATGAAGCATATTTTTTCCTACTTCTAACATTATTTTCTTTGCTTGAAGGCTACAGTATACCTCAGAGACTGATGAAATTGTATGTGGACTAGGTCAGCATTCAGTTCAGACACTAAGTGAACATTTCCTCCCTAAAACAGTAATAGATGCTTTACTTTGAAAGAATCAGGGCATGCCTACACAAAAGCTGCTTTTCTTCAACTTGGACAGCACTAAGTGAACTAAGGACCACAGATACCTGATGTTCTGTTTTAAAACAGAAGCCCAGACCATCCCCCTGTTCTTGTAAAGTGAAAAAAACCCTGAAAATGCACAAGGAGGGAGGAGGACAGCAAGTGATACTCAGAGCATTACTCCTTCCCTTTCAGACACTTACAGGTCACGAAGAGGACAGGCTGAAAGAGCTGTTATGTTGCAAAACATAATCTTCCTCCTGCTCTGCTGAGATTCCATGCTTAAGAGAATATTTGACTTGGTAGTATTAACTTCAGCAGCTCTTGATCACATGCCCTGCAACACCTCAGCACACAAAGCCTGTGCTCTGTTACCTCCCATCTTGAGCAGGAATTTACAACCCTGCCTAGTAGACATAATACAGCCACTGCAGCATTTTGCATACTACTATTTTTGTCAGGTATAATAAACACGACAAACATGACAATGCCTATTACATGGACATCCAAGTAATTAGGGAAGAGACTCAATTGCATGCAAAGATCTAAAAAGCTAGGGTACTCACTACACCAAAATGTGCCTGACCTTGTCCTAACCTACTCAAAAATCCAATTTTCAACTGCTTGCTTCATCTGTGTAAGTATATTTTCCCAAAATGAGGCAAAGAATCTTTCTGCCAAAGCATCAGTGGATACAGTGAGCCAAGGACATATATTTCAAAATCCCAAAAGTAACTGTCAGAGAAGCTTATGACTAGTAAATAATAGCCCTGTGCTAACTACAGAACATTGAGCAGCCCCACGTCAAGCATTAAGCAGCAAAGAGAATGGGTTAGGGTGGTTGGGCACTGGAACAGGCACACCAGGGAAGTGGTCACAGCACCAAGCCTGACAGAGTTCAAGAAGCATTTGGACAATGCTCTCAGGTACATGGTGTGATTCTTGAGGATGGTCCTGTGCAGGGCTAAGGGTTGGACTCAATGATCCTTGTGGGTCCCTTCCAACTAAGCATGTTCTGTGATTCTGTAATTTCATCCCTAGAGCAGTTCCAGACACATTTCAAAAAGTTATGCCAACAGAAAACATGGCTCTTCTTCTGTATTCTGTATTCTTTTTTATAAAAAAGTAACATGCCAGCAGCAAAATCCAAAAAAACTTGTGAAAAATAAGATTTGCTGTTGTCATTGCCAGAACTAATTCTCTCGTTTTTAAGTGACAATATCACTGAAAGCTTTCAGATATTGTCATTTCAAGGGATGACAAATTTGGGAATTGCATTAAATGCTTCACTGATGGAAGCGGAGTTTGTATGTACTACTTTTAGACTTGTATAAAATAACAGCAAGGTTCATAGGAGAGAGACATCATCTAATTTTTATTGATGCTCCTCAAAGAGAGAAGTCAGATACTCACAAAGAACTCTGCCTGGAGTATGAAAGGATCCAGTGCTTTCTTGTGCAGTTCCTCTTCAGTAAGAATGTTTGATGCTGTCTGGAGGTATTCTCGGGCTGACTGTTCTCGTGGTGACATGACATAGCCAAAACCTTGCTCAGAACAGCCTGGGGTACACATATCCAGTGTGAGTGAAACATTTGAACCTCTCCTGCAAAACAGAGCAGTCAAAGTTTGCTTACAACAGAACAGAGTGACCCACCATTGTCAGCAATGGACACAGTCCCAATGACAGATTAACAACTTCAGAAAAGCAAAAAAACCAGAAAGTGGGTTCTCATGGGTACAGTTTGGTCACTAACTGTAAAAAGCAGGTGATGCTTCTTGTGTAGACAAGACCAGGAGATGATTTTGTGCACTGAAACATGAAGGCTGACACTTTGATCGGTGGAGTAAGATCCTGGGATAAACTATCAGTTCAACATCAATAAAGACATGAAAAGCCGACCACTGCGGTGAATAATTTGTACATCTGAAAAACTCTGTTTCCACAAATTTACATAATGAAAAGGATAAAATGAAAGTCCCAACATTTTAACAGTTACATTGAAAACAGAGATACTGTCGAGTGTAGAATTTTTAGTGGCTTTATTGTAAGTTAGCCACGCAACAAAACAAAGAAGTCAAAATGCCTACACTGTTTATTGAGTACAGTCTTAACATATTTCTGAGCTTCTGCCAATCTCACATATCATAGACAAAAGTAGGATTTAAAAGGCATCAGTGAATCTACATTGAAATATATTTAATAAAAAGATAAAAGTCACACAATATGATGACTACTAGATAATTTTCTATGCATCCACACAGTAAACCTATTTTTGATGAATCTCAGCTGGTAAAATCTAGTTAGGAGGTGAGTGCAGGAGTTGTTGAAAAACCACATGATCAGTTCACGGAGAAGAGCATGGAAGTTGGGTCACAGCCCTTTCCTGGACTCAGTAGTTTTTCCAAAGCAATGTGCAGCTAGCCTCTTGCTATGATTCACAGTCATGGGGAAATGATTTGGAATGAAACATGACCAATAATGGCAGACACCAAATCTTTAGTGATATCTTTCAAAGGATTTTGACCTTACCTCCCTGTTTGCTATTGAACAGCTACCACATTTCTCCCCAGAAACAGATACATTTGATAATGAATGCTTTTAGTTCTTTCAAGGTGGAAGAGGCTACATATATGAATAGTTCTTCAGCATGAGGAAACAAGATTTCTTCTTTAACAACATTCAGTGGTGTTTGAATTTAACTACTGATTACCCCTCTAAAGGCGTAGGTGGTCAAAGAATGAGAGGGAAATAAGATAGAGAAGCAAAATGGATTCCAGAGAAGGACAGGTAGGTAATTTAACACAACACCAAACAAAGGAGAAGTGTCCAATGCTTAACACAAATGAAATTTGCCAGGGTACAGCTTAAACCTGAAATGATGTCTGTCTTCTCAAGAATAAGTGTATGTTGAAAACAAGTTTATTTTACATCTTAAGTGTACACATAATATACATTCTATCTAGTGTGAGAATTTCAAGCAATTGCTTTATTTTCCCCACCTTTAGTTCTCTGACAAGTTTTTAATTGTAATTCATTACCTTAACCAATTGTTTACCCCCCAACTGATACTCCCCAATTGATATTCCCTAACTCTCTCGATACAGTGAGTATCTTTCCTGCAGGCTAGCAGTCACCTAAGAAGAAATGTCAGCATCTTTATAATGACTGAAATGGAATGAAATCAAAGATAGTGAAGAACACAAATGATTCATGCTTTTCAAGCCCAATCTTGCCATAATGAAAGAAACAACAAAACTCACTGATAGCAGCAGGTTCAGGGACAAGCCCCAGAGGCTACTGCAATCTCATGTTAAAGGTAGAATATAGCAATAAAAGATAGGAGATTTTAGGACAAATGTTATAACAACATATAAAGTGAGAAAAACATTCTAAACTCATGGAGTGTAAATTGAAAGCCTCTTCTGTAACATCCCTTTTACTGTGCCCTGTGGAGATTTAAAAAATCAGCACCATACTTCTTAAAATCTTAATTCTGCCCTTTGTTTTAAGTTTTAGGTATGAAGATTAACTATGGTTGGTGATCCAATTAAGCCTGAAAACATAGAAATAAAGAAAGGTGATATTCTGCCACGCTGGGCTCTTCAGTAGCCTCATTCTTAATTAAAACATCATCACCTTTGCAGCATTTCTTTACAGGACTTCTTTCATCAAGACCTTTGTCTGATTTCACTAATAAAATGGAAAGAACACAAACCAGAAAAAAAAATCTGCCTTTTGTCTTGAAACTGCCTTTTACCAGCTGTGAATCTCTCTGAGAAGCTCCATTGCCCTGATGGTTCAAGCAGTGAACACCAGCTCACCTTGACGTTTCATTAGTGAGTTAATTTGAAACAAATTCATTTACTTTTGGACTAACTCATTTATACAAGAATTATTGCAGATGACCACTCCTCCTATGGTGTTCTTTTGGAGAACTGTCCTCCAGCATGAGTGACAGAAAAAAAATCTACAAGAATGACCTCTTTAGAAGGTGAAAGCTTTCACTGTCCTATAGTGGATTTCATGCTATGCAGTTGCCATCATGGGGAATGGCAAAAGCCTGAAGAAACACAAATAGACATATTCAAAGGAAAGAAATTATGCTTTAGAATAGCACTTGTTGACAGCTGCCTAGAAACTGTATGTTTTTTTAGCTAATATGCTTATATTTATGACTGGATTGAAAACAAGATAGGAAATAACTATAAATATATGTATATATATGTAATAAAGTGTTTGACTTTAAACCCCATTTTAAAGTGACATTCACAAAGGCAATAAAAGCTTCCTGCTTTGCATAGAACTCCTAAATCCACAAATTCTGGGACCAGACTTTCCCCTATTAGCCACGTCTACCCTACCTTTCTTGCAAGCCCACGGATTTAACCGTTAGAGTAGCTGGGTCTGTCTCCGCTTTAATGTCCATTACGCAGTCAAAGACCGGAGTCTCCGGTACGGGGTCCAAATCTAGGAAGTCATCCTCATTTTTATCCTCTGTCCACTCTGAGTACGTGAATGAAGGCTGCCGGCTCACAGATTGGCGTCTGTCCTCTTGTAGCGGGAAGGGGGGGTCTGGTCGGGCTCTGAGTAGATACCAAAACTAAAGGAAACAAACATTTAAAAAAGCCTTCTGCTTGTTGCCAGCCCTTCCACACAGCCCAGAGGATGGGTCTTCAGGGCAGCATCCCAGCTCACTACAATGTATTAGAACTGGAGAGCACTGAAGAGGACAGGAATGTTCCATGCAGGAGTAGCTTTGTGGTGCATGTTATAAGGATTCACATCTACCCATTCAAACCTGCTTTCAGTCACAGAGGTTTCCACAGAGCTGGCCAGGCTTAACTCCGGGATACAGTAGAAGTGGAATGTGCTTGTGACCATCATATGCAAGCCAACGTGATAGCACTGTCCTTTTGTTCAGTTTCTTATCCTTCCTAGGTTTGTTTACAAAATAAAAATCTATTATAATATTCTACAAATCATACCTCTCCTGGCTTAACGGTTTTCTATCTAAAACTTACATATGGCTGAGTTAAGAAAAGTAAATATAATTGAACTGAACAACTTTGTTAACCTGGCACTATACCCAGAATTTATATACAAATCCATCATTTTTTAAAAAGGTCTCAGTTTTGATGTACCTGATTCTGAGGCTCAGAATACCCTTATCAGTTTTTGGCAAAGACTGTTTTATAATCTAATTATCTGATTTGAACATGGTATAAACATTAAAAAATAAATCTTGTGAAGGAAAATAAATGTAATATTAAAGGTTATATTAAAAATAAATGAAAGGTTTGAAATGGTACGAAGCTAAGAAATTTCTGCATCATATTGATTTGCATAGATGCTGTGACAGGCTGTATGATTTGGAAACCAGATCAGTAGATTGTTTAAATCCTTCACATAGGCCTCAGTTGAAAATTTCAAGCCCAGCTCTGGACTCGAGGATCTGGAACTTTAGGTCAGCTTCATCCATGTTGCACTGAACTAGGAGTAGCATCACTCAGGATAAATGTCACACAAACTGTAACTGTACTGTCATGAATCCTTTTGAGATTAAGAACAGGTCTTATTTTTCCAAAGTAAAACCCCTTCTGTCCTTTTCTTATATGGCTTTTAACAGACAGTTGAATTTGGAAAATGTGCCACTAAAAGTCAAATGTCTCTTCCTAGGCTAGTATAGCACATCAGCCCTTACAGGATTTGAAAGAACAGTTTTCTTGTGCCTGTCTTATATTCATGTACTTTCATTTCTCTGAGCCTAAAGACTGAAAAGAAGAGAAGCAAGTTTTAATTTCTGTCCACATCTAGCTTTAGCCAATGTTAGACTCTCACAAAGCAGCAGTATTTATTTGACAGCTACAAAATGCTTTTTTGTTTCAGTTAATCAGAGTACACAGGAATTACAAAAGCAAACACAGGAACACCATTATTAGACTTTCATTTTACACAAACTCGAGGCCAAGTCTGAACTGGGCCTGTCCTACATTCTTGGCCTGTTACATGACAAGCAAGAAGCTGGAGGATCTATTTCCATTCTTTGACTACTAGAGTTTGGCACTACCACATGGCACTAGCCATGGTTCTTACCCATACTGCAAGACTGTGATAGCTGAGCAGTGATCAATAACTCTGTACTGCTGGAGAGTGCTGCTGTGCCAAAATCAATGCTTGTGCTGAGGGCCAAGTGTAAGGTCTACGTACCAATCCTCTGTTAGAGATTCTAGGACTGGTATGGTGACACAGGGCTGATTTCACTGGTGATTCAACCCACTATAAATCCAAAGGAACAAAAAGTTCCCCCTAGAAACAAAACATCTTTCCTTTACATTGAAAAAAGTGTGTGGCAAATAAGGAGCTGTCCAAGATACTGGAAGAAATTAAGTTACACTTAAAAGTGATGAGGTTACACCAAATGATGGAAAAACAGTCCTCTCTGAAGACCTGCTCAGAAAAACATTTCAATGCTGATCCTCTGCAGGAGCCTGAGTGTTAACACACTATTATATCAGAAGAAGACAGACAGCATCACTAATACAAGCCTCAAGCTTTCTATCCAGCCTTTTGTTTTCATCATGACTGCTAAACCACCCAACACATTCTGGTAACTGGGTGCTTCAAACATCAGCTGATGTCTGCTCTCCTGAAACATTTGCTCTACATGTATTAGAGTTACAAATTCTCCAGTACAGGAATGAACTGGACTTCAGCATGTGTGCAGGCCAGACAGATATCACTTCTGAGAATCCGCTGAACTACGTTTCTCACCCTTGCTACGTGGCTTAACAGTTATTGCTCTGCATTAAAGCAACAAAATACCCATATAAACAGGCACATTTTCTCCCTTTCCTAGGGAAGTGGTAAAGTAGTACTGTAGATTACCACAGTTGATGAATAAAAAAAAAGCATAAGCTGCTTTTCACTGGTGTGCCATTTAGTTGTAACACATCCCAGGGGCTATGGGCCACTCAGTCTCACCTCAATGCCCGATGGAGCAGTTAAAGCATATGGAAAATAAGGAGGTGATTGGTGACAGCCAACAGCGCTTCACTGAGTGCAAATTGTGTCTGACAAGTCTGGTGGCCTTCTAGAGTAGGATTACAGTGGTGGTGGGTAAGGGAAGAGTGACTGACATCATCTACCTGGACTTGTGCAAAGTATTTGACACTGTCCTGCATGACATCCTTCTCTCTACATTGGAGACACACGGATTTGATGAATGGCCCACTTGGTGGAGAAGGAATTGGTTGGATGGTCGCACTCAAAGAGTTGCGGCCAACGCCTCGATATCCAGGTGGGGACCAGCGATGAGTGGCGTTTCTCAGGGTCAGTACTGAGACCAGCATCGTTTAACGTATTTGTTGTTGACACGGACAGTGGGACTGAGTGCACCCTGGGCAGGTTTGAAGAGGACACACTGGAGGGAAGGGATGCCATCCAGAGGGACCTGGACAGACTTTAGAGATGGGCACATGTGAACCTCAGCAAATTCAGCAAAGCCAAGTGCAAGGTTCTGCACATGTGTCAGGACAATCCCAAGCACAAACACAGCCCAGGGGATGAATGGACTGATAGCAGCCCTGCCAAGTGCTGGTTGATGAGAAGCTCAGCAAGACCCAGCAATGCACACTTTTAGCCTAAAAAAATCCATCTTATCATGGGCTGCATCAAAAATAACATGACCAGTAGGATGGGGGAGGTGGTTCTCTGCCCTCCACTCTCATGAGACCCTGCCTGGAGTCCTGTGTCCAGCTCTGGGGCCCCCAGCATAAGAAAGACATGGATCTGTTGGAACAGGTTCAGAAGAGGCTGTGAAGTTGATCAAAGGGCTGGAGCACCACTCCTACAAAAACAGGTTGAGAAAATTGAGGCTATTCAGCCTCAAGAAGACAAGGCTCCAGAAAGACCTTAAAGCAGCCTTCCAGTAGCTCTAGGGAGATTACAAGAAAGCTGGAGATGGACATTTTACAAGGGCATGTAATGACAGGACAAGGGGCAATAGCTTCAAACGGAAAGAAGGCAGGTTTAGATCAGATATTAGGAAGAAATTCTTTACTATGAGAGTGGAGAGGCATTGGAACAGGTTGCCCAGAGAAGGTGTGGATGCATCATCCCTGGAAATGTTCAAGATCAGGTTGAATGAGGCTCCGAGCAACCTGGTCCCGTGGAAGGTGTCTCTTCCCATGGCCGGGGAGTTGGAACAAGATGGTCCTTGAGGTCTTTTACAACCCAAACCAACCTATAATTCCATGTATATCAGAGTGGGACTGATGTATCAGGTCCATCTCTAAAGAGAGAAGGGTACATTTGGGAAAGAAAGATTTGATTATAAAGGCACTCCTCAAAGTAAAAGATCCCTTCAATGTGTCTTCTAGGCAGCACACTGGTTAAAATGCATTTTAAAGGAGAAATGAGAGAAAGAGAGAGATGACTCAGTCAAGAGTCATAGGAAAAATAAAGAAAACAATAAAGAAAACTATCTTCATGCAACTATCTGTTGTTCACCAGGCTGGGATTCTAGAAACCCTTCCTGGTTCAATCACTGTTTTCAGTGTTCTGCTAATGATTGTTTTATACCTTATTCCCTAAATATTGTTAGAAGCAGATGTTTGCAAATTGCAAAGCAGCATGACCTGAGACATCTGAGAGTAAGGGACAAGGCTCATGTGCTCTCTAAACAAATTCTTCTTCCTAATGTCCCCATTAGAGAGATAACACTGGGCAAGATGGACCATTGGTCTAAACTCACAGGATGTTTCTTATACCCTGCTGCCTTGTGACTTATTCAGAGAGCCAAGTGACACAGCGTGACATTCGTGTCTCTACTGCAGCTAGAAGATTGTTAGCACAGACCACAGGGACAGAAACCAGTGCAAACCTGGCTACATGGAAACTGTTATAAAACTTTTTCCTATACAAAAGTTTTAGCCAACACTTAAAAATGGACCAAAGTCTGCTCTGATCTACGTTAGTATTTGCATTCACCTGCAAGGAATTCAGATGCAAAGAGATCAGAATTTTTGGGCACACAGAACTTTCACTTCATGTTACCTTCTGTGTTAAGAAGGGGTCAGCAATAAATGTTTCCATCCACTGAGAAATAGCTGAATATGCAGAAAGTCACATCCCTCCTATTCAGATTTTCAGCTCAGAATGTGGTTTTTTTTGTGGTTTTTTTGTTTGTTTGTTTGTTTGTTTAAATTTAGTATTTGCAATTACAGAATCACCAGAAGTTTATTTTTGAGGACAAAATTAATCTGGATAAGGAACAGCATCATGAAAAAAGCAGAAAATTGCATAAACCCAGCTAACTTCCTTGCCTGCATCAATGATCACAATAAGGAGGCATGAACTATAATTACTTTGCCTTGTGAATGGTTTTTAGAAAGTACATTCACCTGACACATTAAAGAGAAGATTTTGCCACTGTGCTGCCTCTGAGTGAACTTAACCAAGGCATATAATATGACATACTTCCTAGCAGGGAGTGTGGCCAGCAAATCACAGGAGGTATTTCCCCTCTTCTTGGCACTGACCCAGCTGCACCCTGAATACTGTTTACAAATTTTGGTTTTCCAGTTTAAGATAGATATGGAAAAACTAGAGTGGGCCCAGTAGAGGGTTGCAAAAGAGGTCAGGGGTGCAGAGTACAGGACCTTTGAAGAAGGTGGAGGGAATTGGGCTTGTTCAACCTGGCAAAGAGGAGGCTCTTCTTCATAGTGGCAGCTGATACCACAAGGGACAATGGCCACAAACTGCAGAAATTCAACTCAGACGTTTAGCTTTGTGAAATTCACATCAGACACTATGAAAAAATTCTTCCCCAAAAGTGCTGTACATCTCCTTCCCTGAAGGTTTTCAAAACTTGTATAGAAAAATGCATCTAACTGAGTGTTGGCAACAGCCCTGCTTCAAGCAGGATGTCAGACTAGCAAGCTCTAGAGGTCCTTTCCCCCCAATAGTCCTGTGATCCTATAATGCAGTTCATTATACTGTGCATCACTCAAACAGCATGCTAACAGTATAGCTTCAGCTTCCTGAACTACCCAAGGGTGCACTTCTGTAAGGACAGGAGGGGATGCTCCACCTGCATCTTCAGTAACTGCATTCCCACCCTAAGAGAACAGCATACCGGGGTATGAAAAGCCACATTCAATTAGAGCTCCCTAAAAAGAAAGCATTTTTCATAGTTTTCCCAAATACCACACAGCTTTGTGCCAGTTACACAATCAGTGGAGAAACACGATATTCTCCTCCTGTTCCCAAACAGCTGACAGCTAACTAGATTAATTGTAAGCATGCCACTAAGCTTGTTCTGCAGCTGGGGTCTTGGCCTACATCTACAAGTGCTTTACATTCAGAAGTACACTGATGTTCTGGTACAGCTCTTTCTGCCACTGAAGTCAGTGGATTAAGGCTGTTACTGGACCACATCCCTTCTATTTAAGCGCAAATTGTTTGCCCATCTGTGGATGGAAAGAACAAAAACCATCAGTGTGATCCCCAATTAATCAAGAAACTGAGTAAGGTTAAGTTCCTCTACATAAAGCAAGCAGATAATTATACAGAAACAGCCCCAGAAATGTTGCTTTACAATCAACTTGGGCATTAACACCAACAACTTCAAGTAAATTAGACATCTTATAAAAACTCACTGAAAAGGGGTATGAATACAGTTTTCACAGTATCATAACTTACCAGAGATCCTACAGATAGCAGTCCTAGAGAAGCTAAAGACAGCACGATGTATGACACCACAATGCTCCCAACTGTAGTCAGGTTCTGTGAAACAACAGAGTAGACGACTCATGAAATATTTAGGGACACAGCACAGTGTCTGCAAGCATGTTCTGGGCAAACTGTGTATTATTTCCCATGAAGATGTAGTCATACCATACTCACCTGTGGAAAAGCCGTCAGCACCAGAAAAAATGCCAGGCTTTGGAGAAGACTGAAACTGAAACCATCACCAAGCCCCATCAACTCAGAAAGTCTAAACCCCAGGTTTTGCTGTCAAGGCAAACAAGAATTCTGCTTCCTACCCTCATGTGTTGCCAAAATTGAGATCTGGATCCACAATTCAATTTTGCAGCCTGGACCCAATGCTTCATTGTTGTAGTTAGTGCAATTTTATACACTGGCAAAGGGCTTTGAACGCAGTTTAGTACTGTTCCTGTGTTTAGAGGTCCTTACATAAAATCCAGCCACAGAAGACTTTTCTCTGTTTTCTACACGTTCTGTGAAATACCACCAGGTCAATTCACACCACTGGAAATGAAATTAATTCCAGTGTCTTAGCCATATTTAAGTAGTTTATAGTTTGGCCTATTCTCAGCAGTAGGTGCAAAATTCAGTTCTAATGGGCTTCAGTGGTCAAGGAATTCTACTCTGTTTCTGTCCCACAGAAACAGCTAAAAAAAAAGCTGGACTTAAAAGCTTCCATTTGCTTATTTTAATGACAGAAGATTTCTTTGCCTTTACTGTTTTCAAGTCTAAATTTGCATGATAAACAGTGCTATAATAAACAGTCCTCAAAAATATGCATGAACATCTGCAGAGTCATACTTGGGATGTTGCTGTAGTGTGTTCTAGGAATCAGTTTCCTCCATGCTGAACAATTATTTTAAGTCAAAATCAAACAAATCAGTGATTTTCTGTAAGGAACAACAATTTGTTAATGATTCAGCCACTACAAATAAGACACAGGCAGTAGTCTACGAAGAGTTCTGTGCATAATAAATTCAACTGCAAAAGGGCAAGGCAAAAGTGCTTCTTTCAAAAAAAACCCACAAAGAGCAGGCGACATGCAGCTCATAAACACTGATAAGAGGAAACAGAAAACAGTCACCACTTTACTTCAGTCATAAGAGGCACAGAATCAGATTTTTTATTTGTACTGCATAGCCTCTGCTACAAAGATTATGTACAATGAATCTAAGCATTCTGATAGCAAATATATTTCATCTGATTTTTGAAAGTAGCTGTTCACTATTTAATTAAGGTTCTGTCCACACCAGAAAAATCTGCACTGGGTATAATTACCAGTAATTTATCAGATGATTCATTCTGGTATATGTGTCATTATGTCATGGTGAGAAGCTAAGCAGTTTTACTGGTGTAGCTTTGTAGATGTAATTGAACCTGTACACCTAGTACACTTGAAATACATTTACTGCACATAGATATATTCTAAACACTCAACAAAAATAGATTTCTGTGACTGAGTATGTTGTGATTTGCACCTTTTATGTGGGTTGATCCATTCTTTCAGAACTTAAGGTTTTATTCATCCTAATAAATGAAGTTCCAGCTCTCCCTTTACTGTGTACTAAACCTTAGTGGGCTGGCTTCTTATTGCTTTGTTTCATTTGCAATTATCAGCACATTACAAAAATCTGCTGTGCTGACCTAACATCACAGCCAAAAACTCAGCACTGTATCTCAAAGACAAAATATTGATCTGTTTTCAGAAAACTCTTTTTACCTTCTCAGGACAGACACACAACGCAGCAGTCGCTGTAATATATGAAATACATGTGTATTCACACTTTTAATCAGAAGAGGTATTAGTAGCACCCCCTAAGGCTACTGACATCAACTACATAATCAGAGAGGAGTACAGGGACTTACCTCCCCTTGATCTGACAAAACCTGTTTAAATGGTGTAAGCAAGTACGAGAGCAGGTCAAAGGCATTCTGAGCTGCTGGGATGGTCCCATAAGTGCCGTACCACAGCATCATGCAGAAAAGCTGTGCAATCAATCAGAAAAGACATAATGAGCACCTCTCATTATACAAACATTCATTTTCATTCCAAGACTGCATAATTAACTAATTTAGTTAGCATTGATTTCATCTTGATTATCATTTTTGCTTTAACAAGTCAGGTACTTTCTAGGCTATAGCTTAACAGGAATAAAAAGACTTGAAGGCTGCATACTCAGCTACTATTAACTAGATGTGCAGCCCTGAGTTACGCAGGCTTACTCTGATCCACACTAGAAAAAGGACTGCCCAGGCGTACACTGAAAGAGCAACAGATTCCTCTGACCTCTGAACTCTTCTAGATCAAAACTGGTAATTCAGAGAAATGACTATGCTATTAAAAAACTATTTAGGCCTCTCTGAAATCTCTCCCAAATAAGCCAAGTTTGCATAGACATCACTATAAATAGACACACACACACACAGACATACACGCATGGGAACTTCTCATTTGAACCACTTAGAGGTGCTGCACACACCAGAGGTAACATAAAACTACAAAAGCAGTGATGCTATACTTAAAACACTCACAGAGAGGTATAACCTCATCTCTGACTGTGAAGGGCACACCACAACTTTACTAGGGTACACCTCCTGATCCACTTGTTAACAAGACAGGTGTTTACCCCCATACATACCAGCTACAGAAAATGGATTTGGTGGGAGATCTGTCATTGGGCAAAGGCATTTGCAGTGAGGCACTAAATGGGATGGGAGTCTGGGACATCAAAATGCAGGGGCTGTTTGCAAGGCAGAGGTGGCTGCAGAAATGAGAGGACTGCACCTATGTCCACTGCTACATCTACAATAAATGAGGAGGAACTCCCAAGCCAACAGAGCTTAAAAGGAGGGTCTCAGCATTTCAAAGCTATGGCAAACTGCCTTACCAGTATCTGTGAGAGGACAAACAGATACATGCTGTCTCCAGGCATTAATCCATTCCATCGAGGTGGCCAACCAAGCACTGCTGTTTTCTGAGAGGTTTTCAGGGACTGCTCCTTCCTGTTCAGCTCTTCTTGCTGTCCTTCAGCTTCATCCATTGACTCCATAACGGCTGGACTGGAACAACCTTCACGTGAAAACAACATGTGCAGGGGATGAAGAGTGTGTGACCCCGCAGGCACTGCGGGGGCTGCCAGGGCTATTGTTTTCCTGGAGACGATGGTTACCTCTCAGTTCCGCATCAGTAAGTGCAGCTCAGGATTGCGAGCGTCACACTCTATTAGTGCAGCTTTATTCACCTGCCTTCGTCAGAAAAAAGTGAGTGTGGGCGGATAAATTATTTTCCCTTTCTTTCCGGAGGTGCAGATTCTGGCTTTGTTGTTAATAAATTCTCATCTACATTGCTGTACCTTTTCGTTTTTACTTTTTAAAAGAAACTATCCGTGCTATTGCCTAGCTACACACTTCCCAGCTAAATGGTGGCACAGAACCCATTTTGTCCCTTCCTGCCTCAACTTCTCTCTTCTCCCTTATTCATCTGCTTTGTCTAATTTGATTATAAATTTCTGAGGTAGAGCTTATTTCATATTATGAGTCTGAATAGTGCTCAAGGGTCTGGGTTTTGGCTGAGTGTCCTAAGACACTAATAAAATAGACTTTATTCTAATAACCTACTTCTTGGATGAATTCATACTCAAGAGCTATTTAATAATGTTGTAATGTTATTCTGTTTGGCAGAAATAACTGCTGGAGTGGCTAGTCCCTCAGTAACAGTATTTTGAACAGAGTCTGTGTAGGTAAAAATTAATTTACAAGCTAAAAGGAGTGAAAGATCAGACTCATTTGATGTAAGTACTACTGATTCACATCTTTCTACATGAGGAAAGCCCCAAAGCTGCCCTGTGTACGGCACTGTAGCCTTAAGCCTAAGCCAGCCACCTGTGGCCCAGGGAAAGGCCACATCATCGGTCCTTCCCTGGTTTCAGAGAATCACAGAATATGCTGAGTTGGAAGGGACCCACCAGGATCACCGAGTCCAACTCCTGGCCCAGCGCAGGACCCTCCCCAAGAGTCACACCATGTGCCTGAGAGTGTCGTTCAAACTCTTCTCGAACTCTGTCAGGCTTGGTGCTGTGACCACTTCCCTCGGGAGCCTGTTCCAGTGCCCAACCAGTCTCTGGGTAAAGAACCTTTTCCTGATATCCAACCTAAACCGTTTGTTGAGGTCAACTATAAAAAGTTCCTCTCAACAAATATTTCTCTAAATGCCTCACAACAGTAACTCTAGAATCCATAAAGTAGCCATAGCTCTAATTAGACAAATGAAATATAAGGACCTTGTATCAGCTGAGGGTCTCACTACAGTAAGAATTCATGAAAATACAGGAACACGAGATGTTTATTCCCACTCTGCTACTGTTCTCCCTCTCCTCACTGAAACAAACCTTAGGACATCCATCCCTGCACATGAGCACAAGGTGTTTAGGAAACACTGATAGCTTCATCTACAATGTTCTCTATTCCCACAGCTGCCCAGTAACAAGAGGGTCATCACCGTGTAATGACTGGGGAGACTCAGAGACACAAGAAGACACATCTGCAGTGTACTACCAGGTGTTTCCCCAGGAGCTCAAGGTTACTGGTTTCTCATTTTCAAAATGTTCATGTCAGTTCATGATGAGTAATGGCCTAGCAAGGCATGCTGGGTATAACCAGTTATATGTAACGACTTCATTGTCTTTACACAGGTATTTCTCAGGAAACATGGAGAATGTGCATCCAAATAGATATAACCCCACATATCTCACACCACACATACATGCTGAAATTAAGTATTGGCCAAGGCCAGGTTGAATAGGGCCCTGAGCAACCTGCTCTAGTGGAAAGTGTTACTACTCATGGTAGGGCAGCTGGGACTAGGTCTCTTCCAACCAAAACCATTCGATGAACGACTCATTAATTTTTTAAAATGCTACCAAAATTTCATATTAAATACAGGTCAATAAAAAAGGGAAAAATATGGAACTAAAGAGGTAAAATCACAAGTGTCAACAATCCCACCCTTCACTTTCACCAATGTGTCTTTTAATGCTAGAAGACAACCACTTGAAAACAATGCTTTTCAAAGAAGAAGCAGAAAGTTTCTGGAATACAGCTCAAGAGATCATGAGAGCTCTACCTCTCAGTCCTTCAGGCATCCAGCCAGTAATCTGCAGTCCGTGACAAATGTCCCCAAGAAACTCAGAGAGGACAGACACAGTCCTTGGTGTCCAGGGACACTGACCATATGTTTAACACCCCACTTCTGATAGCACATTACATAGAGCTGGACTCAGAAGTTTTCCAGGAGGACAACACAGCAGCCACAGTTAAGGCTGCCTAAATACTTTAAATGCTGACCTTTATTTACATTTTCTATAATGTGCTAAATCTTGACAGTTAAAGATGAAAATTGTCAAGCTTCTAAACTGCTTCATGTCTCACTGGATTTGAACAAGAATTAAGGGGAAAACACTTGTTAATGATTGCCAGTTTTTTTCCTGCTATTTTTGTGGGATGTTTATGCTCTGTGTTTTGGAATGGGAATTTGAAATTTAGCAGGGACAGAATCTTGATGTCATAAACTATTTTTGTCATCCCTGCAGAGAGATATGCACCTGTGGCTGAGATCTAAACCTTCAGAAATATCTGTTTATGTATAGTTCATTATTGTTTGCTGCTAAAGTCTCTAGCCTTCCATTTTCACTAAACATATTTTAAGTTCTACTTTTCCTTTATCTACATGAAATAATACATCTCTGTCCCTAAGAATGGTTAATGAACACATTTACTGTTTTTCCAAATTCTGATGACTTCCTTTCTTTGATATTCCTCCCCAAAGCTCAAGATAAAATAGACATGGTGAAGAACTAAAATATTATTGGGAAGACAACACAACAAGGAGGCAGGGAATGCAGATTTCAAGCTCAGCTTTCAATTGGTTTTTATAAGTCATAATATTTCATATTTCAGAAGATTTCTTTTAACTGACCAAAGGCTTATTCACCTGCCTTATGTAGCAGGTAAAGAGAATATCTTTGTTTCATATCTGTAACAGCCTGAGATTTTACAAGGTCGTTTGTGTCTAGGTTGGAAACAAAATCCTGACTCTAAAATGACAGTGTGAAGGCCACTTAACCATATGCCTTCTGGAACAAAGATGTCAGTTAGGGGACTGTTCTGTGTCTGTAACCATGGGGATCTATGCCTCTCCACAGCCCAGAAGTCCAATTCCTGGAATTCCAGTGTTGTTTAGTATCATCTGTACAACTGGTGGAGTCAAATTCTCCTTTTATGACTGCCCTATATGAAAGACAATAGATTACTTCTACTTTCAATTATTTTCACTACATAAGGTCCTGGTCTATGGACCTAGGAGCCCAGGATTCCAGGTCTGCTGAACTGAACCTGTTATCAACAGGTATTTGCACTAATACAATAAAAGACAAGAGGGGTAAGAACTAAAATACTGGAGAACTGCCTGTGTTCATATGTATAAAGAAACTGGTTAAGATACATACCTTGGACATGTAAAGAAAAAGGCCTATATAAATTTAAGTTCACTCAAACATTTGCTCTTCCAAATCCCAATAGATTAGATTCTAACAAACATAACAATGCTCACCTAGGACTCTGTATTGATACAACTATGTCATGTTTAAACAATACTGCAATTACCACTCATACTTCATCTTGCAATCCTATATTCCTGTTTTATTTGCCCTAATGGGCCTTGGATTCTTTCAGTGTGCAGATGAGGTAATAAATGAGTGAGATATCAGTAAAGCTTTCTTGTCTCAAGGTGAATGTGAAGGTCTGGAGAGAGCTGGCAAGGATGACTACCTCCAGGAGTGAATTGCACCTCTCCTCTGTTAGTGACTTGATTGACAGTTAAATGTAACATCCATGTGATATCCACTTCTATTCCTGCATCATGAAGATTGGGATTCAAGTTCCACAGGTACTTCTGCTTTGGTGCAAGACTACGGTTGTTAGAAAAAAAACCCCTTTGGCAGAAGAATTAAAAGGTCTCTGACATCTGTAGCAGCCATATGGCTTGTTAAAGCAACCAGACATTTCAAAACAGCACCATAAACTTAACCTCATCCTTGCTGTTCAGGGTAAGGAACTTTCTGGATCATGACAGGGATCCATTCATCCTGTATTCCTCCCTTAAACATTGCCACCAATACAAGCTGACAAAAACACATGGCACAACATGTTGCTATTGCTATGGAATAATACATAGGGAAGCATCTTTCTCCACTTAGGAGGTAAAAGCTGGCTTCTTCAACTCTGAAAACGTCTATTTTAAAATACCTGTGTCTCCATATCTTTAATTTTCTGACTTTATTTGTGGGTACGTAAAAGGCAGAAGAATGAAACAACACCTATATGCGCTCTCAGAAAAACAAGTGCTTAGAGTACCAGGCTTAACTGAAATGCTAAAAGGCACTGTAGCAATGATAAGCAAGTCAACAAACCTCACAGTAACAAACATGCCACGATCCCATCAAATCCTGCTGTGGGTGAGGCATTCGCAGCTCTGGAACTCAACTGATTCATACTTAAAGCCTTCAGTGACAAACAAAACAAAGCAAATCAAAAAACAAGTCCCCAGAACCGCACATCCTGGCTGTTATTTCCTAATGAAATTAACACTTTAAAGCAACGTGTGTCCTCTTTTGTGCATGGGTGCTAATGCTCACGGAATTGACACAGCTCCATCGGCAGACTTAATTTAATAATGTATTTTTGAGCAAAAAACTTGTTTCTCATCAAAATTGTTTTCGTAACAGAAATAAAATGTACCCCAGCAATGAAAATACAGTGCTCTACAGTTTATTAGACATTTATGTACATCCATCACACTGTCCCTGCAGGGGATTGGATGGTACTGCTTCTTCACTGAGAAATATAAATTTTGTCAACAGTGGCTGCTGCTTCACTGGTGGTGGAATCCCCGAGCTCTGTGAATTACCTGCCAGGCACACAAAATGAGGGAAAAACAGGCCTCACCTGTTCTGCCAACTCTCAAGCTGCAGCAGTCAACACACCACAGATGCTCAGCTGCATTGTCCCATAGTT